CTTTCTGAAACAGTATGGGGTGAAGAATCGTCTCCTCAGAGTTCCCTTTCAATCCCCTGTGAGTCACCGCAGTAGGCAGCCTGCAGAACACAGCTGTACCTGGGTGCTTCTGGGGTTATGTGGTTGGTGCATGGGAAGGGGCTGCTGCCAACAAGCTGCCCTGCCATCTGTGGCCATGTGGCCAGAGGGCAGTGTGCTGGTGCTGTAGGACTGCTGCTGCATAAATGAAGTATGGATGCATTGGGCTGGGGGTTGATTAGCTCTGGCATTGGACTGTTCCTGAGCAGTGCTGCAGAATCAATGATAATCCTTTGATCCTGTTAGGACATCTGCAGATTCCTGGGACAACCTCTCTGTGTCCCTCACTTTGATGATACTGCCTGTGGCCGGAGGGAGAGACTGGAGCCTCAGTCAGCTGTTTATGCTGTCTCCTTTTCTTGCTCACAGGGCTGTGGGATCTTTCTCCCTCCAACTTCTCTCCTACTACAGGTTATTTAGTGAGGCTGCTCCAGGCCACTCAGCCCTTATGAAGCTCTAAACTCTGAATGGCGGAGGGCAGACATGGAGAGCAGGGGCTTTCTTAACCAGACACGGGTTGACTGAACACATCGACAGATGTTCTGCACTTCACCACAAGCAGCTTGACCAGTGTCCATGCTGGTTTGATGCTGGGACTTCTGTCTGCTTGCCAGGGTCAGTGATGTTTACTTGAGTCAAAGAGAGGCCATATGCAGTCACTGCTGTGGTGGATCATGCAGACCTTGGAAAGTGTGTGGAGATATGTGTTGTTTCTTCTCAGGGACCTCCAGCAGTGTGAATCTAGAAACAAAATCTCCAAACTGGTGGCAACCATCAGCAGTGTTCAGTGGGGCTCACCCTTAGCCTCCTCGGGTGGTCTTTGTTTTCCAGTCCTGAGAAGTTGGTAGTGTCATGCATAGGTTGTGGTGAGGTCAGTGGCAGCTGACTGTGCTGCCAGTTGCTGAAAGTTAGAAAGCAATGGGGAGTGTGCATTTGAAAAAAAAAAAAAAAAAAAAAAAAACATGGCCAGATATTTATCTGCAGTGCAAAACAGCAGCTATTGAACAGTTGGCCTTGTAAACGTTGTTTAAGATGAAATGTACATGGCACAAGTATCATCATGAAAGATTCCTTGCATCTGTAAAGGGTCGGCTTTTCTGATTCACCACCTAACACTGTTTCTGGGTCAGAAATCTTGTGTTTCCCTCCAGACAGCAAGGGCATGGGTGGGTTCTGAGCTTATCTATTGCAGATACGCACACACACAAGCATGGTCACTGAATGCTCTGTGTTCTGCACACACTGCCTGCCTGAGAGTCAACTGCGTAGCCCATGCTTCCTCCCAGCCTGCAGGAGGCTAAAAGGAAGCCTTGTGTCCTCCGCGGCATTGCTGTGTTGCCCACAGGTCTAACCTAGTGCTGTCCTCATTAATATTTACTTAGCAGATTAAATTAGCCCTTCTCTTTAACGACTAGGGACATTGATGAGACCTCCATATTCTGAACACTTGCAGGCTCAGGAAAAAAAATTTTCAATAAAAATCTGCCAGTCTTGAATCCATCCACACTTTGCTTTGGCATCCTTATGCCCAACCACTCTGGGCAGACCAACTGAGTCCCAGCCTTGGAAGATAAGAGCCTTCCCATATGAATTCCAGACACTTTACGACTTTTAGGCAAATCCCTGTGTATGTGGCCCCATCATTGTGAGCTAGTTCCATGGGAGCTGATGTGTGTCACCCTCTTCTTGCCTTGCCTCTGACTTGATGTTCACCTTAAAATTCATCTGTATTCTCTCAACCAGGCTTTCATGCTTTAAAGTGAGGATACAATATGAAGGGGCAAGCAGCTGGCTACAGAGTTCCTTGCTGCTCTTGCTCCTCCTCCCGTGGTCACTCATACTTAGCCCCCAATACAGTCTTAGTCTCTGACTGCTGGGAGCCCTGACAATGCCCAGAGAAACCTTCGAATGCCTACGCATGCTGACTGTATTCTCCAACAGTGACCAGTTGGTTAGCCACAGATACGAGTCCAGGTCTTAGGGTCGAAAATCATAAGCAAAGCATCCCATTCACGTCTGTACACACAATATCCTGCTGAGACTCATTCACCCCTTTCCAAGCCCGTTCTTCCTTCCCTTAAACACCTCATTCTCTCTGCCCTTCTTCTGAATGTGGTCAGGGCCTCTCTCTATGTCTGTGTTGGATCCTCTGCCTGTCCCTCCCAGGGGATTGGAGCCATCTGGAGTCCCTAGTGGTATAGCCTTCTACCCCCACATTTCTGCCCAGCCCTGGACAGAAACTGCAGACAACTAACATGGGTCACTTTTCACTTCCATCTCAGCCCTGGACCAGGAGCCCCACAAGGAGGCACTATTTCCCAGGAGCCCACCCTCTGCTGGCCAGGTGATTTTCTCCAAGGCTGTGTGTTCTCTTGCGTTTCACTTAATAACTGCCTGGTAATTAACTCCATAACTCTGCTACCATGCTTATAATAGTCTCCATTAAAGTTATGGGGTTTTCAAATTGTAATGGTTTCAAGAGTAATTAATGCACAACTAGGTTCATTGCTAAGTTTATTTTATAAACTTTTCTCCTTCATGTCCCCTCCCTCTCCAGAAAGACAGGTGGGGATCAGGATGCCCTCTTACCCACTCGCCCTGAGCCTCCACCGTTCGCCCTTCTCCATCCCCACCCACTGTTCCTTCTCCAGACCCTGTAACAAGCACTGCAGAGTCACTATGGAGGCAGCTGTGATGGAGGAAAGAGACCCACAACCTGTGCTAATGCAAGCCAGAGAAAGCATGAGGGCTGTGTGCCTCCCTCCTCCCTGGGCTTGAACTTGGGATTCTCATCTTGTGCTCCTGATGACAACATAGAGTCTGCTGGCCTTGACTTCATGCTGGCTCCATAGTCTCTAGTCACTGCCAGCAGGCAGGTTCCCTTCTCTGTCACACAAGGGTCACAACAGCACCTGCAGCGTGGATGATAATGCCGCACAGAGCACGCGTGCCGGAAATGCCAAACCTTGGACTTCATTGGAGTGATAGGAAAGCTTATTGTTAACTACGACTCACACAGACATTGGGAAAATGAGCGAGAATGAGAGGGAAGAGCCACAACATAAACCGACTGCTTGCAAGGGCAGTCACCCCTGGGCTCAGCTTGCATGGACCAACTTGATGCCTTCTTTCCTTGGCTGTCTGCACCCTGAAAATAGAACTTTCATGCAAACTGAGGGCATTCAGGAGATATACTTTGAGAATCTCTGATGATAGAAGAGATCTTCCCAGAGGTTGTAGGAGCCCCAGAAAGGTCCACATGTACCCTCTCCCCATCAGAGCCCTTTACCATACACGATCTGGCATGGCTTATAAACCAAAAGAGGCTCCTGGTTCTGATGAAGCCTGGCAACACGACATGGACAAAGGCCTCCTGTTACTTCCCATGGACAAAGGCCTCCTGTTACTTCCCACCCTGATGGGAAGTGAAAGAGTAAGCTGGTATGTGAGAAGTTGCTAGGGACAGCTTCGCTTGGTCATGCCGACTCACCAGCTCCTACAAAAAGGCATTCAAGCACTCAACTTCTGCACAGCTCAGGTGCCTCAGGCATCCCTCTTCCTGCTCTGAACCGTTACAGTTAAGTCACAGTCATGTTTCGGGGGAAGGAGGCAGACCACAGTCAGTCAGCAGCACTCCTCATTCTTCCCTGCCCGATCGTGGCTGGATATGCTGCCTTGTGCAGCTCTGTCACAGGCTTGAGTGTTGGGACATGACCCAGATGGGGCGATGCTGCACCAGGTTGTTCCAGCTGCCACAGAAGACCCAAAGGGCCCCCTGGAGTGGGAGATTTGCTCTGTTACTTGTGGGGCCAGTGCAATGGATCTATAGGGATCAGGGAGGCAGTGCCTCCCATGTTTCCCATCCATGGACCCTGCCTTTGGAATTTAAAAAATTTAATTGATGTATTTGAGAGTCAGAAAAAACAGGGGTTGACACTTGCTGTTTCCCAAACCTCTAATGCCATAGGAGGAGGGCACATGCCAGCTTGGGCATGGTGGCACCATGGCCACTGAAGACATGTCACTGCTTAGGGCTGGGGACCGTGGGTGCTGGGTGCATCAGCATGAGCAGGGACCTCCTTGGCCTAATTCCTACACATTCCAACAGTGGTGTCCACAGTGTTCACCACAGAATTATAAAGAAAGCAGGAGAGAGATTGTGACCATTTTCAAGGTGGTTGTAAGTTCTCTTATAACCTTGTCACAAGAAGAACAAGTGCCCAGAGGCAAATCCTCATGGAAATGGGATGTGTTCTCCAACAGTGAAACCTGAGCAGGGCCATCTCCTCACAGGGGATACCGTCCCTGGCCCTGCTGCAGCCACACGTGGCAGTCCTCACTCCACCATGACCACCTTTTCCGCTGTGGTGCCCAGGTCATTGCCTGCTGCTCCTCGCTGCACAGGGCAACCAGGTGCTCCATGAGAGCTTCCCATTGACGCTGACCAAGGCAGACAGCATTTTATGCCAGGGCCTCTGTTCTCAAGAGAGCTCCATTTTTTTTTTTTTCATGCCTATATCCAGGCAGACCCAAACCTTTGGGTGTCATAATATCTAACATTTACTATGCAGTTATACATGTCAAGGGCTATGTGGGCATTGCCTCAATTCTGACAGTTGTGAAGTAGGGGCTGGTCATTCCTCTCTTATATATAAGAAACTTGCAACACAATCACATAGCTTGTGAGTGACAAGGCTTTCAAGATAGTTGACTCTGAAGCCTCACTCACCTGGCCTCTTGAGAAGCTCATAGGCGGGCAGAAGGGGTCCCTGTGGGGGGTGGGCACTCCATGCTGTGTATCCCCCTGCTGGCATCCTTCCCTTTGCCTTGGTCTCTGGCCATCCTCCTCTGCTCTTTCTTCCAGGTGTCCGTCTCCCAGGGCTCCTGACCCTGCCCCTGGACAGCCAGCGCTTCTCAGACTCCGGCTGTGACAGAGTCTGCAAAACCTGCTTCCACAATGGGTGGGTTGTGAGTGCTGGTAAGACCTGCTAGCCAGCCTTCAGCTTCTCTCTCTTCTCTGTGTGTCTGGCTGGTCAGCCCATGCCTCTTCTTTTCTCCCTTGTGCTGCTGCCGTTGTCCTGTGGCTGGCTCCTCCTGACCTTACCGCCACTCAGGTAATGAGGAGCTTTGGGTGCAGCCAGCCTTGGAGATGCCGAAAAGACGGGACATCCTTGCGGTCGTCCTCATCGTGCTGCCCTGGACACTGCTCATCACCGTCTGGCACCAGAGCACCCTTGCACCCCTGCTCGCCGTGCACAAGGGTGAGCCTACCAGCCCCTGGCCTGGCTTCCCAAAACAAGCACAGCCACAGCTAACATGAATGGGTCCAGCTGGGAGGAGCTATGGGGACCCTGTGGGTGATCTTTGAATCCTTGGTTCAGTGTGGGAATCCAATGAGGGCTATACTGTTTCAGGATGTATCAGGGCCTGTGTCAGCAGCAGTGGCAGAGAGCAGTCATTCAGACAACTGCCTGCAGAGGCTGGCTTGCCACTCCTGCTTCTCAGCAAAAGACGGTATACCTAACCAGGCCAGCCCACAAGAGAGGCACTGAGGTGAATCAGGAGGCAGGGATGAGAGGGAAGAGCAGGTGAAGTGGCTTTGGCAGGAAGGGAAGAGAGGCAAAGTAGCAGCCGGGTGGGATTTGAATCAGAGTTGGAGTAATGCCTGACACCTGGCCCCCAGGGACCCCTTAGAGTTGGGGAAGAAGGGACGATCAGCATTGGATGTGACAGTTCAGCAAAGGAGGCGTTGCATGCTGCACTGTGGGATTGATTGGTTGGCTTGTGAAAGTATCTATGGCACAATTTCTTAGGAGCTAGTGCAGGCTCAATACAGACCCTACCTGGGCCCACAAAGCCCCAAGAGATAAAAGCATAATAAAACATAAAGCATTTCTAAAAAGAGAACACATTATCAGTTCACATAATGACATCCATGAGTAATGTCACATCTGATCTTAAGACACCCAAGGAATGGACCAAACATAGAGAGGAAAGGCTTCTAAACTGTATGGTGGGGCCCAGTGCAGTAGCCCAGCGGCTGAAGTCCTCCCCTTGCATGCAGTGGGATCCCATAGGGGCACCAGTTCTAATCCTGGCAGCCTTGCTTCCCATCCAGCTCCCTGCTTGTGGCCTGGGAAAGCAGTCAAGGATAGCCCAATGCCTTGGGACCCTGCATGGGAGATCCAGAAGTGGCTCCAGGCACCTGGCTTCAGATTGGCACAGCTTCAGCCATTGCGGCCACATGGGGAGTGAATCAATGGACAGATGATCTTCCTCTCTGTCTCTCCTCTATGTGTATCTGACTTACCAATAAAAATAAAATCTTTAAAAATAAATAAAATAAACTTTGGAGGGCATACTGTTCTCTGTCTCTTAAGCCTTATTTATAAAAACAAAACAAACAACAACAACAAAAAGCACAGTGACAGAGAGAGGTCTTTGGTCGCAAGCTCATTCCCCTAATGTTTGTAACAGGGCTGGACTGAAGCCGGGCCCAGGGACTCCATCTGGGTCTCCTATGCGGGTGGCAGGGGTCCGACAGCTTGGACCTTCATGGACAACCTCCAGGAGCACAGCAGGAATTTGGATTTGAGGTGGAGGTGGGGTGTATCCCAGGTACTGTCATGTAGAATGTGAACATCCCCAGTGGTGATTTAGTCCACTGCATCCAACACCACCCCCTTTGCTGCTCTCTGCTTGCTTAGAAAGCCCTGATCTAGGCCTGTCTGGTTGGGGTCGCTCTAGAGACAGGAAAAGTCCTTCAAAGAATGAGTGGAAGCTCAAAGGGTATAGCTGCTTCCTTCTGGCTCTGGGTCCCAAAGCTGCCTTTCTCCTGTGACCCCACTTTGTCCACATACCCATTTCTGGCTGTTTCCCTTTCCTTCACTTCCTGATACAAGCAGATCCAACACTTTTAGACATGTAGCACTTTCCTGATTGCAATGTGTACCATCTTACCTGGGGAATGAATGAAAGTACAAAAGATCGTCCCATTGAGAGATGAATGACAGGGCTGGGGCAAGGCCCTGAGTCCTGAAAGCCACTCATGACTTGGCTCCAGGCTCAATCCCACAGCTGGATGCTGTGCTGCCCACCCCCACCCCCCACACACAGTTAGATAACCAGGTATTCCAAGCCCCAGCACAAGGAAGGACTTAGCTCAAGACTGGAGCCTCCCTGCCGCCCAGTGTTGGGCTCTTTCTTCCTAACTAACATGGTTCTCTCTTCTAGTCTCCATCACCCTTTTTGGAGACTTGTCAGTTTCTAATCCGTTATCCTGAACATGTACCATTCTGGAAGGGTTAAAACTATTGCACATAGGGCAGCTGATCACCTTCTAGGGCAGAGGGTATCATGATGGCTGCCTGGCTCAGCACGGACACTACCGCTGCAGGACAGGAATGCGGCTTCTGTCTCTGGAGCAGGCCAAGAGGAACAGGAAGCAGTGGGATGCGGTGAGGGTGCCAGGAAGCCTTTACCACTTAGGGCTGCGGAAGCTGAGACACTAGTGGGAAGGACAGAGCAAGTGTGGCCCAGTCCGAACACACAGGGCACTTGCCCTGAACGCAAATGCCGTGCCTGTGTGGGATCGTTTGGGTAGCAGAGAGCATTGAGCAACATCATCTCTGATCACAGCAGAATGTTCATCCTTCAAACCGCCCCTAGAAATGACCTTTGAGCAGCTCTATCTTTGCCAGTCTCCTCCCTACACCTGCACCCCTCAGCCTGGGTCATGCTCCCTGGTGTTTTCATGTGTCTCATTGTGACATCAGCCTGTGACCCCTCCCTGTCACCGAGGGCTGGTGGTCTGCTGGGTCACACTCCACATCAGCACTCACGCAACCCAAGTGTCAAACCTTCCTAGGACCATACTCCAACGCACACAGATGCTTGCTTCATCCTTTTAAGTGCATGGGACCAGGAAAATAGAGTCGGCTACTATTATCCAGCACATGAGCTAGAAATGGGAACAGTATGTAGCAGTGCTTTGGGTTGCTGACATGTATTGAATCACCAATCCACACAATAATTCAGTAAAGCAGATGCTACGGTTAGCTCCAGTCTACAGTTGTGAAGTCAGGAGACCAGAGGCTAAGTGATTTCCTCGCAGAAGTGTAGTTAGTAATTACAGAAGAGCAAAGTTAGAGCCAAGACACTGAAATTACTCGGTCTTTTCTCTGGCCACTTACAACTGCACTGAGATACTAGAATAGCATGAGCCACTCCGCTGGGGGTTATTGCATAGTCCTGTGGAAGAGGAACTGGCCCACTGGACACACAGATCACTCTGGGGTAGGACTGTGAGGCTACCCAGTGAAGACGGTGCAGCCCATCAGGAACTCCTCAGTCATCTGGAGCAAGTGGCCTCAGGAAGTCACGGAACCCCCCGCAACCTGAGTGTCTGGCTGGAAGCCAGGCTTCTCCAGGGGTCGGTCAGGATCTCCAAGTAAAGGCAGCTGGCTGCCAGGACAGGCAGAGACAGTGGTGCTGTGAAGAGCATGCAGAAAGCAACTGGGAACATGTGAGCATCAAGCCAATGGAAGAGCTTGCACGGGTTTCTACCCTTTTTGCATATGGCAAAATAGAGGCTTATTCCAAATCAGCAATGGCAGGTTCAGGGTTCAAAATTATTTAGTCGGGGATGGGCAGAACCCACTGTAATAAAATGCAGTGTTTAAAATGTTAAGTTAAAATGCAACCACCAGGAAGAACCCGCAAAGGACTCCCGGCCTCTGTGGCCTCAGTGTACCGAGCAGGGCAGTGCATATGTGCAATGCTGCGATCAGCTCTGGGCAGATAAGCAGGGTGTAACATCCAGCGCATTAGGAAGGGAGGATGCTGTTCCAAGTGAGGAAGAAGAGGCTTTTTCTGTCATCCCTGGAGCCAGAACAATAAAATCCCTTCTGAGTTTTCCAAGGATGGAGGCCTCAACCCAGTTGTAACTCCAGGAGGCAGGGACCCAAAACAGCCTAGCAGGGGGGCGGGGTGATGGTGGAGGGACTGTGTCCAGTATTGCCTGCCCACATGCCCTGTCCCCCGACTCTGCAGATGAGGGCAGTGATCCCCGGCATGACACAGCCCCGGGCACGGACCCCAGGGAGTACTGCATGTCCGACCGCGACATTGTGGAGGTGGTGCGCACCGAGTATGTTTACACGCGACCCCCGCCGTGGTCTGACACGCTGCCTACCATCCATGTGGTGACACCCACCTACAGCCGCCCGGTGCAGAAGGCTGAGCTGACGCGCATGGCTAACACCTTGCTGCACGTGCCCAACCTGCACTGGCTGGTGGTGGAAGATGCGCCGCGCCGCACTCTGCTTACAGCGCGCCTGCTGCGGGACACTGGTCTCAACTACACGCACCTGCACGTGGAGACGCCCCGCAACTACAAGCTCCGGGGTGACGCCCGCGACCCGCGCATACCGCGGGGCACCATGCAACGTAACCTGGCCCTGCGCTGGCTGCGCGAGACTTTCCCGCGCAACTCCAGCCAACCAGGTGTGGTGTACTTCGCGGATGATGACAACACCTACAGCTTGGAGCTCTTTGAGGAGGTGCGGGTTCCGGATACAGGGGCTGGAGTCTGTTGGTGGATGCAGGGTGGGCTCGCCAGGGCAGTGGTCGTGCAGCTGTGTATGGAGAAAGCAAGTCCAGGAATGGGTGACTAGGCGGAAAGCAGGGAAGCAGGAAGAGGCGCAGGAACCCTCATTCAGGTTAAAGCCCTCCTCCACTCCCCATTAAAGAGAGACGGGTAGTGGGTGTGCTATAGGTGCTGTCTTAGTTGAACTCACTGGGTGTAGTTCCCACAAATTTCTTTGGTAGCACAGCTCGGGCGTATGGGCCATGTGAGTAGAGTCAAGGAATTATTTTAGAATCACCAGTGGGAAGATGGAGAGGTTTTGTGCAAGGAGAAAATGGGCAAGGGCAGGTCCTGCTACAGCAGGTGGGCGTCATGAAGGATGGTGTCTGTAGGCAGGGCCAGACCCCTTGTGGCTGCCTGTGGCCCCAGTGCAGGGCTGGCTGAGTGAAAGGGGTGTCACTCCTGATTCTGGATCCCCCTTGTAGATGCGCAGCACCAGGAGGGTGTCCGTGTGGCCTGTTGCCTTCGTTGGTGGCCTTCGGTATGAGGCTCCACGGGTAAACGGAGCAGGGAAGGTGGTTGGCTGGAAGACCGTGTTTGACCCCCATCGACCATTTGCAATAGACATGGCTGGATTTGCAGTCAACCTGCGGCTCATTCTCCAGCGGAGCCAGGCCTACTTCAAACTGCGTGGAGTTAAAGGAGGCTACCAAGAAAGCAGCCTCCTCCGAGAGCTTGTCACCCTCAATGATCTGGAGCCCAAAGCAGCCAACTGCACTAAGGTATGCCCTCAGCAGAACTGACAGCTCTAATGCAAGTGTTCGCGAGTCTGTCCCCTCCTCCTTATAGATCAGAGGCCTCAAAAATCACCTGGCCTTTGGAGACTCCTCCTGGGAAGGGAGTTCACCACCTCTAATGTGGTCAGAATGAAGGCAAGTAGGGAACTGGGCAGAGGAGGTCATCAAGGAACCACCACGAGGGGCTACTGCACACGCATACACAAATGCCTTTCTACATGTATACGCACAGGCACCTGACTAATCTCAAGACTTGGACTCAGCTAGATTGCCTGTTTCCAAAAGGTTTTTGAATATTTGTTTGTCTGAAAGATAGACACAAAGAAAGGTGTCCCGTCCGCTGGCTCACTCCCCAAAGTGACATGAGGCAGCACCTGCCGTCTCCCATAGCGCACATCACAGCAAGAAGCTGGGTGGAGCTGGGGCTCCAACCCAGGCACTCTGCTCGGGAATTTATAGGTGCCCCTGTACCCAGTGCTGACAATGTATTTTGGATACACCACAAGTACCAACAGAAAGCTTGAGGGGTGGGTAGAAATAAAGAACAACTTAGAAAGTCATCATGGCAAGAGGGGAGAACTGGAGGGGGAAGAAGACATATATGTACGGTGTGGGAGGGAGCAGGGAGCCTGATGGTTGATAACTTGCCCATTGTTAATTTTGTTCCTCTGGACACACAGATCCTGGTCTGGCACACACGGACAGAGAAGCCTGTCCTGGTGAACGAGGGGAAGAAGGGCTTCACTGACCCGTCGGTGGAGATCTGAGCCTCAGACACAGGTAGGAGGGCAGACCTGTGCTGGTGAGGAGCAGGGAGGGAGGGTGAGCACCAATGCCCTTGAGGGCTTTTCCTCTTGAAGTGAGTTGTGGCTGGTCAGGCCAAATGGGGACAAGAATGGAGGAGGCCTGGCCATTGCAAAGTTAACAGGTGCCCATTTCCATCCAGACAGCTGGGTCCCTCTGCCACCCAACACTTCTGAACACCTTCTCCCCACCACCCCCTTTCTTGGCTTCTCATGGTCGCTGCTGTGCTGGAAACCAAGGCCACTGCTGTGCTGAGGTTCCTCCCATAAGTCTGTCTTGTGCACAGTCCTGCCTGTCACAGGGACCACACTCACTTCTCTACATCATCATGTGACTCAGTGGTCAGAAGGCAACAAAACAGGGAAGCATGGACATCAGGCTGCATCGACTTCCAGACCCATGACATTACTATGATGGACTTGACTTCTCTGCCTCGGTTTCTTTATTGGTAAAATGGGTCATCAAGTAGTCAGTGGCACAAAGGTCGTATAAATGTGTTGCTATACTTATTTGCATCAGGAAAGCCCTCTGTGGAGGCATATCAGACAAGGTGCCCACATTATAGGGTTTCTAAGATGTTCAAAAGAGCTGAATGACTTTTCCCCAATGATGCCATGATACGACTGTGTGGGTGACTGGTCAGGTTAGGCCTTTCCAGGGGCCTTCTGTGGTGTCGTCTTGCCCACTGACACCAATTCTTAGTCCAGAGTTTTTATGCTAGGTAATACCATTGGGAAATGGGTGCTCAGACAGTGGGATGAATATCTGCCCTTTGGCCAGGAGCCAAGTAACAGCTTTTGGGTCATCTGGGGCCACCCTCCCCACTGACTTATTTTGTTCTCTGGCTGCCAGTGCCCACTGGTGCCTCCTACCTTAGTACAGAGCCTCATCCCTTCATCCCTGCCCGTTCCTCATGGCCTCGCCCAGGGACCTTCATGCCTTTCCCTTCAATAGTCTCTATGGAGGGAGCTGGGGCCATGGAAGGCTCAAGCCATACTGGCCATGCCCTCACTCCTTCTTCCTCTCCACTCCACAGGAGCCTCCTTCTCCCCGTTCTTGGCCTTCCACCTGCTCTCCATGGCTGGCAGTCCCCCCAAGGCAGACTCCTAAGGAATCATCATCCTCCTCCTTTCTATTCTGGGGGTTACGGCACACAGCCTGATGCCAGGACAGAGAATTCAAGCACAGAAATCCCACACCTGCTGTCCTCTCCAGCTACCTGGACCAGCAGCCCCAGAGACAAGGGCCGAGGGTCCAGCAGCCAGCAGGGCTGGCACAAAGCTTGCCAGAAGCTTCCTGCACAGATACCCCAGAGTGATGCAGGTTTGGGAGGGTGGCAAAAGGCCCCCATGGTCTGGGGCCCAGCATGATCACCCAGGACTCCCAGCCAGGGAATTCTGAAGACCAGAGAACAGCCAGTGGGGGCCATCCACATCCCACTCCCCTCCTCCAACCCTCAGAGCTGCTCCGCAGTCACACACACACCTCTGGCTCTCCTTTGGTTCATGTTTACAGGCATAGGTTTTCTTGATCCCAACAGATGCCCAGCCCTGCATGGGGGCACCCGTGGCCTGCTGGTGAGCTCCTCCTATACCTCAGGCTGTGGTGAGAATGTAGTCCCCTCCTTTGCCTCCCTCCCCTCATTCCTTCTCCTCCAGCACTAGCAGGGAGTTGGGCCCAGAGCCAGCGCAGGTCCACTGATCTGGACTAAGAGCCACATGACCCCACTGTCCACACACTGTCTTTCCCACTGCCCCTGGGGTTCAGTGCTGCTTGACTAAGCTGGGCTCAGGAGGGGATACCATCTTTCTGGAACTCATGAGAATCACTTACCCCAGGGTTAAGGAGTGGTTGGTGAAGTAACAGTCTCCCCTGGCCTGTGGAAGTGGGACTGGCAATTCTCCACCCACTTCCTGCACCCAGATTGGAGGGAGGGGGGGGGGCTCTGGGATTTAGGGCAAGGTGGCAGGGGTTAGCTGGATGTGGAGGAGGAGACCTGGGCATAGGCTGCCTTGGGAACCATGTAATGTACACACAGACTGGGAAAGGCACTCTGACTGCTCTGAGCTGGGAGCAGGCAGAGCTGCCTCCTGTCCTGTCACTGGCCTCTGGAGAAGCTCCCCTGCTCTCCCGGGTGAACAGGAAGGCTCTGGACCCCTGACCCAGCCAGGCCTTTTGGTGAGGTGCTTGCTCATGTCCTGAAGTTGGAAGCACAATTTTCCTTGGAATGGAGAAAAAGGAAAGGGCCTGGGCCTACTAAAGTGTTGTGTATTTATTAACTGCTAACAGCCTCATGCACTCCATTCAAACTCATGTGAAGGCAAATGTGAGGTCCACCCAGATGCCCTCCTGAGTAAGAGGCAGTCAAAACCTTAACACTGACAATGTAGCGAGGCTGCCTCTTTGGAAATGGATTTAACTTCCCACAGTGTTCATGAACCCACTCGAGTCACCTTCAGGAAGTGCTTTCCAGCCTCTTATACTCCGGGTGTTGCTTGGGAATTTGATCCCTTGAAATCAAGTAGGGTGGCAGAGGAGAGAGGCCAAAGCAGGCACCACCAGGCTGGGGGATCCATGTGGACACTCCATTGCCTCCCTCCTAGTTACCAGTCCTGAATGTCTAGGTTACAGTGGCTGGTCTGGGGCCACTTGTTAGCCAAATACCCAGGGCTCGTTTTCAGGAAGTTGATCATGAACAACAAAATGAGGACTCTTTTTTTTTTTTTTTTCCTTTTGGGGGCAGATGCTAGCTGTGGTTTTTTTCACCTAACACTCTCTTAGCTGCATGTATATTTATTTATAATTATAACCCCGGTAGACTACAGCCTTCACCTGTGGTGGGAACATCTTTGTTAGGAACCAGGATGGATATTCCCCAATTTGGTTTCCAAACCCAGTCTTCACGGCTGGCAAGCCCTCCAGAGCAGTCAGACCAAGGGGGTGGGAGTGTCAAGAATGGGGGCTGGGGCGGGGCTGGAGACCAGTGAGCTGTGCCATCTGGCCCATTTTAATTTAACTGCATTGGTTTTCGAAATTAAAAGTCAAATATGGTTTTTAACAGTCTTCATCTCTTTATCCTTGATTTATTTGATTCTCATTTATTCATTTACTCACCCTGCAAATGTCTATATCAGCACAGGCACGGCCCTAGGGGCTATGGCCTAGCGGGGAATAGGGGATACTCTGGCCCCCCTGGAGCTCATTCTCCATCTAGGGAACAGTAAGGAAGTGTTTGCTCTTGCGGATGAGATGTCAGAAGGCAACCATGTGGGGAGACAGTGTGGCTGTGAAGTGGGGTTGGCATTCCAGGCGGTGTTCAGAGAGTAAACATCTGAGCCGAGCTGCTCTTGGCACAAGGCCCTCAGGGCCATCCTGAGAAGAGCAAACTCCCCAGCACTTCAGTGTGTTTCTAGACCATTGAAAAGACAATTGTGGCTGTGACTGGCAGTGCATGGGGACAGATGAAGCAAAGCAGCCGACGAGGCCGGCAGTGGAGGAGAAAACTCCAGACGACACTGCTCCCTCAAAAGCTGTTGGCTTCTACTCGGCGACATGGGAAGACTCTGTGGGACTCGGTGCTAAGGACCCACAGGACCAACAGAACTGCCCTGAAAGAGGCAGGCCGGGAAGTGGCTCTCCTGCTTGTCCAAGTATGGGATGATGGTGTGTAGGACATGGTGCAAGCTCTGGGGCAGAGAGAAGTGACAGAATTCTGAATGTACTAAGAGGTAAGTTCAGGAGGAATTACCTTTGATGTGGGATAGAGAGGATCAAAGGTCATGTGAGATCCAGCAGAATGAAAATGTCATTTTTGATATGGGATGAAGTAGTAGGAAGCAGGGGAGGTATGGGAGCCAGAAATCCATTTCAGACAGCTGCAGGAGAGACAGGGCGGAGCTGCCTGGGAATGTGGAACCGGATGGAGATACACATTGGAGGGCATTATTAATGCCAAGGCTTGTGTACTGAGTCAAGAGGAAGCCCAGGGAGCAGGGAGCAGCCCAGACTCTCCCAGCATTCAAGGGTGCTCTGTCCAGAGTGGCTTTGCTAGGGGAGCTGAAGGGTTAACTCAAAGAAGGCTACAGATAAGAAGTCGGAGCAGGAAGACCTTGCTTGAAACAGCTGATGCATCACTGCTCAGGGTGCGTAACAGCAGCACTTGACACAATTCTTCACCTATAAAGGATTGCTACCAGCTGTCCTTAAACTTCAGCTCCCTGTAACATTTTTTTAACCGGATCAACTCAAATTCAGCTTTGTAGAGCATGAACTTACCTAAAGCAAGAGGAACTGCAGGCTCAGTGCCTCCCCACGTGCTGTGGTGTTTCCACAGCATAGGCTGACATCACTGGCAAGCTTGAGCAAAACTGAGGACTCGACCCTTGTCTTGCTCCCAAGCTCTTGTACACAACCTTCACTTTAAGGTTCAGTTTGCTGTCCCAAGTTTGACACTTGGCCCAGCCCCTAGAACTATCTGCCTTCGACCTGTGTCAGCTCTTGGCCCAGTTGTTGCAAATATCCCCAGTGGAGACTTTATTCTGAGTGACACAAAGGGTAGGTGCCACTGTCTGCCTGGGTTTCCTTGCCCTATTCTTCCTGTTTTCCCATGCCTCTGCATGGGCACTGTGCTGGGGATATGAATGCTGTTTGACTTATTTGGTTCCTGAAGATCATAGATGCAATAGATGCAATTCTTTGTGAAGAAACTCAGGCCAGGGCTAGCTTGTCTGCAGGAGCATTCTTGGCTGCTGAGCAGATTCTCACCTGTGTCCCTTCCAGGAACATGTCAGGTCCTGTGAATGCAGGTCAGGAGAGGCAGGAAGCCAGGGCACGGGCCCTTCTCCCAGGTGTGTCAGGCAACGCCTGGATCTTCCAGCTGCAGCCAGGCTGTGTGTGTCTAACAGACTGCCTTCTCTGCTTCAGGGCAGCAGACCAGACGGAGGCGTGCTGTCAAGCAGGCTCCGACTCAACACTATTGCTCTATTGCAATTTGTACAGCAAGCTTGAGACAAAACCACTGCCTTTAATCCCTAGAACAAGAACCTCCCCCACTTCAAGGGAAGGCCCTCTCTCCTCCCTGCTGCTGGGTCATGGGGCAGATGCAAAGCCTGGTGAGTCTTTCGGCTTCCTCAGCCTTCCTGGGGACCACCCACTCGGTGCCAGGGAGTGGGGCCTCTGCCCTTTGCCTCCTGACACCTAGGGAAAGTGTGCAGTGTCTGCTGGGTTTCACATTTCCTGCTCTGTGATGTGTGTCCCCCACCGAGCACCACTGGACACTCTCTGTAACCGAATGCGATGAATTTTTCTTCTCTCCAGCTCAGTCTGTCATTCCTTCAGATGCTGTGACAGCGAAAACACATGTGTTTCTCAAATGAATGGTCCAAGGAAAGTTATGAAGAAAAGGCAGTCAGCTCCGAAGAAACACACTCACTCCTTCCCTAGCCTCTAAAAATGGTGACAGACACACTACTGCAGAGCCGCAAAGGGGCCATGTGGATGTGGCCAGACCCACCAGAACATGTACTCCTGTGTCCAACATCCCAACCAGCAAGGCTTTGGCTTCCCGGGTGGGAGGTGATGCTCAACTAGGTGCAGCATGTTTTCTGAGAACCCCAGGAACTCATTTCATAGCAAACTGCACACTCCCACCCCCGCAGACATCCGTGGGGTCCTCCAAGAAGAGTCTAGCCTCTGAGCCACCTACCCTTTCCTTCTCTTTTGTCCTCCTACATTTAGGGATCTAAACTTGGGCCAGGGAAAGACTTGTGGTCCCTTGGCTCCCTGAGCTTGCTACTGAAGAACACTGCCCTGCAGGGCAGGTGCTGATGCGCAACCCACCCAAGTCTGAATGACCAGGGAAGTGGAACACTTGCAGGGGGTGCCAGGGCTGTGGCTCAGTGAATGTACTGGTTCCTGCCCAGGTGGGGGATATCAGTTGACTGGATCATTGGGCCCGACACCATCTCCTCAAAAATGATGACCTGTGGAAAAGAAGGGACCAGGTAGGAGAGCAGCTCCTAGGGCCACTGGGGCCAACTGAGGGTGCTGTGAGGCAGTGGAGCTGCACCCAGGATGCCAGCACAGGCAGCAGTGAGAAGAGGCCTGCTAAAAATCTGCTCTATCCCACATCCTTTCCCAAAGGCTCCCAGGGAAACTTGCTGATGCCAAGGAGGGCAGGGATGAGAAGGAGTCACAGGGAAAAGGACAGGAAACTGGATGTGTGCCCACCTGATTGATTCCTTTTTGCAGCCAGGCACCTGGAAGGTACAGAGTCTTCTGGGGTCCAATGTTCCAGTAGCGCCCAAGATTCTTGCCATTGATGAATACGACGCCCTTCTCCCAGCCCTTCAGTGAAGAATAGTGGAGACAGACAAAACATATAGTCTCTCAACGCCCAAATCCAAAGCGAGCATGTGTTCTGAGGGTGCCTTATTTCTCCCACCTCTGGTTCTAGTTCTAATTCTAAGCCCCTTGGCAGGACAGGCACCTAAAGCCTGGGCATAGGAATGTGGGCCCTCAGAAGAACCACCAGGTGGCCCCAGAGGCCCCTTTAGATAGGGGAACTTAGAGCACAGGTGCTGCCTGCATAGACCAATTGGGAGGAAGAGCAAGGACCAAGGCCGGGACATGGTGGTGATGGTGTGTGTGTGTGTGTGTGTGTGTGTGTGTGTGTGTGTGTGTGTGTGTGTTACAAACCTCCAGCTTCAGAAAGGTGTCAAAAGGAGCAGAACCAACAAGCAAAGCACCCAAGAAGAACGCAGGGAACACAGGTACTTCTGGGACAGAAGTCCACTTGTCAATGGCAAACCTGAGGACAGCACAAGGGTGGGGAAGGTTCACACTGGATTCTGCAGGCTCACGCTTTCCACGTTCATGAACTTCAAGGCTGCCATCTCTTAAGCCAGGGCAGAGCCTGACAGCAGAGACATAACATGTAGATGCTGCCTCAACACATGAGATTCCCATGCTACTGCCCCTCACTTGCTCCTCACTGTGGCCTTTGGTCTTCTTATTCATCTGCGGGGTCCTGGCACACGAGGTTTGAACCATCCCAAGAGAACCCTGATCTTCCTGCATGCTGTCTGTGAGCTTACAAACTGGCATGAGCCAGGGACCCACCTGCTAAACAAGCTTTTTTTCAGATCCAGACTGTAGATTCTGAACTTCTTCAGGGGAGAATCATCCAGATAGAGATTTCCAATTACACCTGTGGGAGAAGGCGAGGAAACCTGAGCAGGAACAGCTGACCTGGAGGTAGCCAAGGCCATGTAAGTGAGGTCCCCACAGTGTTCCTGTGAGCATTTCTCCCGAAGCGTGCATTGTCTAGGAAGCAACTCTCTTGGAACAAGAGCTCTGGCAATCCAAGAGGGTATCAACATGAGTAGGATCATTATTTGTCATGAGTGGAAATGTCCATGAACAGTGTCAGAAACGAAATGTCACCGGGCAAGCAAAGACTGCCATTTGGGAGCAGGAAGGGTCAAGCTCACATAGCCAAGAGGTCACAGAGACGCAAGCCTATCACCACTGGCATCTGATTAAACAAAACAAATACCCAGACATCGTCTCCACATCCTAGGTTAAGCATGGGTTCTTAAGGTCTTTGCAATGGGAGCAGATGACAGTAGCACGGTGTGGACCCAAAAACAGAGGAATTATGCACACCTGAGCACTGATTCCTTAGTGCCTTGGGATTGGGACAGCTCTGCAGGCTCAGGCACAGGCAGGCAACCCTCTCCTCTCTTTCACAGAGCCACTGAGCTTCTTCAAGGGGGTCTGGAGAAGCCGGAGAAGCAGAGACAACCCCCAAGGCCTGCAGGTGCTGTCCAGCAGGCTCGTGTCATCTCTGAATATCAGGTCTGTTGCTTATCAACTCTGAACAGGAATCCAGGGACGTGGACTCCCCAGTGAGGGACCAGGCCACCTTTGATGAGGGGTCAGGAAAAGCCAACCCCTGGGAGCAAGGGTCAAGCAGACCCTTTCGCTTAGCAGGGGAACCCTGGCCAGTGAGAGAGCTCAGAGAAGCTGCCGAGCTGCTCACTGGAATCCTGAGGTCAGGAAGCTGCAGCATCAGCAACCCACAGTTTACCTGACAGGTGGGTAAGATGACTGGTCAGAATCTGACCAAGAGGAAGCTGTGCCCATTTCCACCATAGCAACCAGAGCAATGAGGTACCAGGAGGCCAGCACTCTCCCCAACACACTAGTGTTTATCTATGCTCATCTGCAGCTTACCCAGCACCACCCACATTAAGATAATATTTTTAATGGAAAATTGGATTAAAGCCCAGAAAAATATGTTGATTGGGTGGGTTAATCTGAAAGGGCTAACAAGCACTTTTTTTTTTTTTTTTACCATAAACCATGCTTCCTCCACCTCTTCACAGAAGAGACACTGAGTTTCTGGAGAGGGACCCAGAAAGAAACTTAGAGTTGAGACACACAAAGGCAGGGATCCTGGGCCCTTTTTGGACTTCCTGGAAATCACATTCTTCACTCCTTCCTTATTGCTTCCAGACAGCCCTTGACACAGACGGCAGGCCAGCTCACTGTCCCTGTGTGGTCACCGCAAGATGTGTCAGAACACAAGTACTGTTCAGGACAAAGAGGGTGAAGAGGGCATAATCCAGCAAAGTTTCTTTAGCTCACTCACCATGGGTGCACATCTAAGTCAACCCAGCCTCCATCTGCCTTCTCTGAGCCTCCATTCCTGACACCCCTCCAAGGGGCTTCCACGACACACCTCCCTCACTAGGCTTCCACAGGGCCTCCATAGTCCAGAAGCTGTTGGGCCTTCATGACCCATCTCTGGCTGCTGGGTCTCCGTTGATGACTTGTCTCTGTCCACTCTACTTGTGCTTAACCCATGGCACTCCACTGGCTTGCCTGTTGATATGTCTGTGTGTACAAGGGCTGCCCTCTCTAGGACCCACCTTTGCGCTGATCATCAATGTTATCCCCGTAGTTGACACGCCCACGGTTCTCCACCAGGATCCTCAGTATGGTGTAGCCCTGCCAGGAACATAGTGGTCGATGCTGATGGCTGGATGGACCAGCCATGCGCTCCCAGCTGCACCTTGGGGTTTATTGGTGGACCCCCATTCTTCCTTGAGCTCTGAGGTCAAGAGTGAGCCCCAGGCAGTGAGGAAGCCATGGCAGCCTCCTGGCAGTGGCAGCCTGTGGTAAAAGAGTCTCACATGTCCCATCTTCCTCTGTGACTCCAGCCAAACTGGTTCAGATGTGGCTGGGGCTAGCCATCATCTGGGTCCCAAGGGGTAACAAACCTGGATCAAGGGGACAATAATCTGCGTCGTTTTATAGTCCATGAATCCTATGGATACTGTGTCCAAGAAGACCTGCCAGAGAGAACAGAGCAAGCAGCTCTGGTCAGCACTGGGTGAGTGAGTCCACAGCATGCATGTGCACCTGGGGGCCCAGCAGGGGTATGGCCAGAACACGACACATATCCACCAACAGAGCATCCTGCACGCTGAGGACGGCTGATCCTGTGAGGTGGATGGTGGACCCTGGTCCCATGCTTACTTGACCCCGGTCTCGCACAAGACCCCTGAGGATGCCAGGTGAGGTGATGGTGGTCTCATACAGAATATACCCAAAAGATTGGCCGTTCCCATCATTCACTGGCATATTCTCCATGTTGATGGGCTTTTCAGATGTGACGGGCTGCACACAGAACATAGAGACTGGGATGAGGAGAAAAACAATTCACTTTTTTCATGGTCTTTTGGGGGTGGACCATAGCAAACAGACGCCCCGGGGGTCATACTCTAGGGCCTGGGGTAGCAGGGAACTCTAACCTAAGCCTTTGAGGTTGCAAGTTAGCAAACAGGCCTCACCCCGGGGATGGGAGGCAGCACCTAGAGGGCCAGGGAGACAAGGAACATTAATCCTTTGTTTTAGTCTGCCTTCCTGTCACACTAACCCCAAGGCCACCAGTCACAAGGTTGAGAGAACAAAGTTCTCATAGTAGAGCCACGCAGTTGAGCAAGCTCTAAGCTCTGATAGCTTTAAGACACCATCATTTTTGCCTGGCAGCATCCCTCTGACTTGGCCTAGCGCCTGTGTCCCAGAGCCTGCTGAGGCATCCCTTAGGATGCTAGCACAGCTTTGAGTGCTGAGGTGGAGAAGGCACTTGAAGCAACATCTGGCCTTTCTCCTGTGGCACTTGGAGGTTCCTGGGTCCTGCTCACTTACCTTGGGCTGCCCTGTTCCTCTGATCCCAACACTCACCTCCAGGTACTGTAGGGCATCCCACAGTGACAGGTAGAAAGAAGGCTTCATTGGATCATAGGATATCTTGGGAAGAAGCTCAGGTGGAGGAGGCAGAGGGGTACCTGCAACACGCAGATGGCAGGGCCACCCCTAGAGGACCTCATTGTCACTGCCTGGCCCTGCTTCCTGCCCAAAGAATTTTGGGGCTGACAGGAACAAGTCTTGTCTAAGTGGAGCGACAGGGGACTGACACCTACAGCATACAAAGTTGGAGCTGGGAAACACAAACTATGGTGAGACAGGACTCTACAAAGCTCTCCTGCCCTTGCCTAGGGTGTCTGTAAACAGATCACCTAGGATTGAGATGGGAGAGGAAGCAGGGAACTCGTCAGATGTTTCAGAGCACAAGTAAGGCCAAAGATGGTGCTTGGGGCTGCAGTTTTCTGGGTACCTAAGATGGAGCCAAAGAAGTCTCGAAGCTTAGAGTACTTGGCCGTGTAGTCTCCGGCCTCTGTCAGCACTGCATCATAGTCTGCAAGACACCGGGATCTGTCACTGCCAGGCTCCGACACAGCGAAATGTGCACAGCAGCAACAGGAGAGGAAAGCGGGCACCACGCATCAGCATCCCTATCCCAGCAACTGCTGAGACAAGCACTTGCTATGTGAGCCAGTCTACTGCGCATCACAGGCAACCAAAGCTACAAATGCAACAGGAGCGGTTCAACATCCAGACATAGCTGGGGTTTCCCACTATAGGCAGAGATACAAAGGCAGGGGCCACACCTTTCCAAGGGCCTGAGTAGTCCCCCCACTCTGAGGCGAGCCCGCTCACTGTCACTGCCTTATCCTTTCCAGAGGTCTCTGAGCACAGCAGTGGCTCACAGGCCCACTAACCGGCTGCAGTCCCCCAGTGCCTTCGATTCAGACAAAGCGCTACCTTCCCCAGGTACAGCACAGACAAATCCAGTTGGGAGACAGAAGCAGTCCCCGGAGGGCCAGCCATGAGAAGTTCCAATAGTGCACATGCTGGGCTGGGCCAGGTGAGGGAGCACTTGCCATAGCTGGTGACATCAGACTTGTATTCATTAAAATGCATGGCTCCATTGATGAAGCCAAAGTTGGTGCCTCCGTGGAACATGTAGAGGTTGATGGAGGCGCCAGCATCAACGATGGCAGACACCGTCTGCAAAACCTCTGCAGGACAAGGGAGAACAGTGACAATGAAATGAGGCAGAGTCCTAGAACTTCGAACCTTTCCTTCTTTTGTCTTTCCCGGGCCCTGGTCAGGGGGACAGCTTTATTGCTCTGCTCTTCAGGCACAGAGGGTCCCGGATGCAGTGAAAGTGATTCTAACTGAGGCTCCAAGCATAGACCTCTGTATTCAGATCCGAGTCAACTCCATCAACTGCAACATGGACAACTTGCCCCACATTGGTCCTGACAGCCCAGCCAGCATGCAGCCTGATAGCAGATGGCAACAATGTGGAAGCCAGGATCAAAGACTGTTCCCCCAAAGATGTGAACAGAGAGCATCACAGGAGATGGGTGACTAACAACTACATTCAAGCTGCACAGCGCCCCATCAGACTGGCATGTGTTAAAAATCACTGTAACAGTATTGTGGAACTGGGAGACACATACTCTTACTTCACAGCAATGAGTAGAAAAATCTATGTCTTTCTGGAGAAGAGTTTGAAACACAAACACCGGAAATCTGCAACAAATGTGCCTTGCTGAATCGGTCAGAGGAGGATGATATGCCAGTGGTGTACAAGGTGCTCACTAATGGGGGCGTATATTTGGCATTCAGTGAAGTTCAATCAATAGGATCACTGGGCATTGCCAACAGATTCACTGGGAACAGGCTGGCTCACACACTGTGACTGAGCCATCAACGTAATAGAGTCTTTCACATTCTTCAAGATGGTGATGTGAATTGATATCGGTAAGAATAGAAACTGTTGCTATGGGTCACAAACTAGGCAGAAGGAGGTGATGGAGCAGCAGAGTGTCTGCGTCTATGTTTCAGAAGCAATTGTACACTTCAGGCAGGTGAACAGGCAAGGCTGAACTATACACCTCAACATGCTTCCTCCAAGGTCTGAGAAAACATCTTCTCCAAACTTCATTTATCCTTAACACTTTTATCACTTGCCACATTTTTTTCTCCTGTATTTTCTAGACACAAGCAGCAGGAATTCATTACTCAATCACAAGACCTCTCAAGATCAATGTGAAAAAGTCCTACTGTTCAAATGTCAAGTCAAGTGAGTCTGAAATATGAGTAACTGATTATTACCCTTGAATAACCCCAGCACCTTTGCATTCTGCTGTTCCATATACAGCAGTTTCCTAAAATGCATTCTGGGGCTAGCACAATAGCTCAACTGGTTAACCCTCCATCTGTGAGAGCACATCCCATATGAGCACCAGTTTGTGTCCCGGATGTTCCACTTCCCATCCAGCTCCCTGCTTGTGGTTTGGGAAAGCAGTAGAAGGTGGCCCAAAGCCTTGGGACCCTGCACCCACCTGGGAGACCCAAAAAGAAGCTCCTGGTTTTGGATTGACTCAGCTCCAACCATTGCAGCCGTATGGCAAATGAGCCAATAAAAAAAAATCTTTTTTTGCTTTTCCTTCTCTCTGAAACTTTGCTTTTCCAATAAAAAATAAAGTATTTTTTTAAATGTATTACTTTTAAGGTCAACACACATGCTGGATATTGCCATGGCACCACTCACCAGAAGAATCCAAGATATTGTGCGGGCCTCCCCACGAATCAAACCACCCTGTCCAGTACTCCATCACCAGTGTGGGCTGCATTCTCTGGGCACCACAAAATAAAAGTTAGGTCAAAAGAGAAACAGGGAAACCCATCCCACAGGGGAGCCCCAGGCACTGTCCTCCTGACTCCTTTCTGGCTTCACACTGTTTGTCAAAGACCAGAGGGAGCAGAACCCACACAAGGGCCAAATGTGCCTGCCCTGCCACGCCCACATGGGCAAGTGGACAGTGGAAGAAGTTACTCAGGTTGATGCAGTGACCCCCAATGGCTTTCTACATGCAGAGTAGCAAGAAGATGAAGTCTTTACCAGAACCCACCACGTGCTACACTGTCCTACACTGGTTTGATTTCTGGATCTTGCCAAGCTCTGCCCATCGTCTGGGGAGGAGGAAGCTTTGTCTACACAATGCCCTAAGCAAGAGTCACACCAGGGATGGGAGCTACTTGGTAACTTCTTCCTCCCAGCTTGAAGAGTCAGGGCTGCAGAGCAGGTCCAGCTTGGTTTAGACAGTAGTTTGTAAAACTGAGCCAGAAAAGCAAGGCTTCATTGCCCAGCCATTCAGTGCTGTATTGCAGCTACAGTCTGGATCGGTTCCCTGGCTGGCACTCTCCACAGGTGTTCAGGATTATTTCAGAATACGGATGCCATCCCACAATTGACCTAAAGATGCAGAACTCGGGCTTGCAGAATCCCCTGAGGATGTGGAGGGAGGCACAGTGACTACCACACTAGGATTCCAGGCTCTGTGATAGGGAGCCACGCTGCACACTGAGTGACAGTAGATCAAGTGTCCTCCCTGTCTGTGACAGCCTGACCTTTCAGGGACATCGCTTGGAGAACAGAATCTGATTCAGGCTGACCAAGATAACTCGTGGCCCATTGAAGGGAAGGTACCAATCACACCCAGACAGAAACAAAGCAGGCACACTGTCCACCTCCCATGAAGGGGGCATACTCATCCTGTATTACGCCTCAGTCAACAAAACGATTCTAAACTATGTTAGCACTCTGGGAGTACCAGGGTCAAAGTAAGTGGGTGACTGCTGGTGGCCAGGTCACTGTTCCACAGTCTGTGGCTAACAGCTGGAATTTGGCAATCAATGGGTACTGCAGTCTTAATCCACCACTGTGTGAATTCTTCATCTATCTCCTCCTTACTTCTGGGCAGTAAAGCAGTAGTGATAGTGGCTAGCTCACACTGTCGTCCTCCTAAAGCTGAGTGCACAGCCCAGCAGAGGTGAAGCTCACAGCAGTCACTTGTACTGATCATGCTCATCAACAGAGGTGTGGCAGACGTGGAAGACCAGCAAAGTGCCACTGGGCATCGCAACATCAAGCACACTGTGGGCCCATCCCTCAAGGAAGTCTTTACAAAGGGGAGTGACCTCATCTCGCAAAGAGACATCTTTGTACACAGAAAAGCCCCGTGGCAGATACTGGCCTATGAGGAGGCAGGCATGGCAACCTCTTAGGCAGGATCACAGAACCAGGTGGATCAGCCACCGCACACGATGCCTCTCCTCCAGGGTGACACCAACATCACCCTGGAGTGCTGCTCCAGGTCTAGGGATCAGTGTGGACACAGGACGGTCCTGCACCGCGTGTGAGCTGCAGCTCAGCCCCGCACATCCCTGTCTCCTTAGGAGACACCGAACGACTTGAGAGAGCAGCTGGGACAAGACTGAGTTGGGAAGAACAGTGAGACCTGGACAAAAGTTCACTCACTGTCTGACCTTGAAGGGGCTAGGCTTCCTATCATGCTGAGACACCAGAGGATCCTGCTGGGTGAAAATCTGAACAGGGCAAAGAGGCGTTCCTCCTCTGCCTCAGTCCGTGAGAGGCTGCAGGGGAAATGGAACCCACAGAAAGGAGGCAGGCATTTTTTTTTTAAAGGCTCCTCAAGAGACCGCATATCTCACTCATCCTGTTTCGGTCCTCACAACAACACCTTGGCTGCTTTCCTGGCAGGGGTGTGGTACACGGGCCAGGAAGTCCTGAGCAACAGGGGGCACTCATCGCTGCCTGGGCAGGACGTACCTTCATACTTCGGAGAAAGGTGGTGAGTGACTGCAGCTCTGCGTGTGACTGCAGGTTGATGGTGGCCAACACTGGAGAAAAAGAGAAACAAACAGCAGATTGCCCCAAATTAGGAAAATGATTCAAAATCATTCTCGGTTCTTTCCTCGGTACTGCAAGCATTGTTACTGACTTTATACACCTTCCTATTTTATTTCTTCTTGATGGATTAGTTTTTTCTTTTCTGGGCTATAATGTATTCATATAAAGTATATGAAGATATTTTAGATGGCTTTCCACATGTTCAAGAGAGATGCATTGCTTTGACTCATGGTTGAGGCCTCCTCAGGATCGTCCAGCTGCAGGCTGGGCTGGGTGGCTCCCTGCCCATTGGTTACTGACTGTCAAAGCTGGCCTCACATGTGAGGGCTGTAAACTGGGCTCCAGTGGGCATAGCAATGCATGACAGGCACTAGGCTGGCCTGGCCAACCAGTGCAGTATGAGGCTGTCCTGTATGTCCAGCATAAGCCGCTGATGATCAGTGACAAAATTCCTGATGACAGCTGAGGCCCCGGGATTACTGTCACTTGCCTCGAGGTTACGCAGTGGCTACCAGAAAGGGGCTGTAAGCCCTTTGTCTTGTCACTGTCCTCCAGAAACCAACTGGTTGACACCTCACACCCAGACGCCTCCTCACCTGAAATTAAGAGACTGCTTGAAGACACAAGGCCTGTCTGAAGCTGCACAGAAACCCTGAAGTCAATACAGGATACACCTGGCTAACTAAACACAGGCACCTCTTTCCCCTCCTGGTACTCAGCACAATGCAAAGACTGGGATGGACAGGCAGATGCTAAGAGGAACTGGAGCTGAGAGGAGACATTAGTAAAGAAGAGTAAGGTAAGTGCATGACACTTAATGTCCTTAAAGAAAAGCAGCAGCTATGGCCAACTTTGCCTCCAGCCTGAGGCCTCCCTCATCCCACTCCAAAGCCAGAGCATGATGCAGGGGAGGACACTGTCCCCAGCCTCACTGCTTTGTTTCCCGTCAGCAACCATGCTCATCTGCTCAGTGGTGAGCACATTTGCCAAGGAAGCTGAACTTGAGCAACTGCAGGCCTGCAGGACTTCAGGGCGAGGTGGCAGGGAAGGCAGAGGCAAGGAAGGCTGTGGCAGGCCTTGGCATGTGGGAAACCTGCCTGATCCTGCCACTGCTTCTCAAAACATCATGGCATGGAGGCCCAAGGCTTCTCCAGAAACAGCAGTGCTCAGGCAGGTCTCAGTTTCCGTCCTTTAAGCACCACCATAGCCCAATCACCCACTAAGAAGTGATCCTGTCCACAGATTTGCCTAAGCTGGCAGCCCTGGGTGGCACTCAATCCTATTTTTTGAAGCTGCTCAGGGCAGACCTGACAATTGAGAACATCTCATCTGAAGAAAGATTAGTGACAGACAGAACAGCAAGTGACATAAAAAAAAAAGGAATAAATAAATTGCTTTAGTCCAGCTACAAAACATGTTATGAAAAATAAAACAAATCCAGGCATCAGGGGGCAGCAGGGCACTACGGGTGCCTACAGGGAAGGCGGGGAGGGCACGGAGAAAAGAGCCATCCCAGAGATGCCCAGCCTGCTTGCAAGGCATCCAGTAAGCACTGAGTGGATCACAGAGCGCCAAAAATGCACGGTGTCATGGGGGACCCATGGGCGCAGCTCCCGAGGGCCGGAACCCAGTCATGGGGCCACAGTGCCACCATGTGGAAATATGAGGAATCACCTACGGTCCTCACAGATGAGAGGCAGGTGCAAGTCGTTGACTCCCCTCAAAAGAGCCTTTCCCCCTGCACGGGACAGACAGCCTGAGTGCCCATCACATTCCAGGCATGGAGGTAGCAAGCTGGAGATGACAGCCCCTGCCTGCCAGCAGCTCAGCCTGGTAGCCACAGCAGAGGCCAGCACAGCTGTGGCTGGGGAGCCCACGTGAAGGGCCTTCGATCCTTTCGGCACACCGACCACGTATGGGCAAGACCGGTACTACCCACGACCTCATGGAGCTGCTCACTTGGGGAAGCTGTGCTCTTCTTGCACAGGTACAAGTGTCAGTGGAAAGGGGAGGCTTTTAAAACACTCCTAACACTGCAGCGAGTGAGACGCGAGGTCGTGTTGAAACATATTTGCATCCAGATGTGCGTAAACAAGTAACTAAACATAAGACAGATGTGCCCGAGCGGAGAGAAAGGGTTGAAAATCACTAGATGGCTTGTGCCAGAAATGGTAGGGAAACAGAGCTGCGGTTTCCTGATGAAAGAAACCCTTCAAAGCAGGGCAAGTCATCTAAAGGACGCCGGGTTGTGCTGATCAGCCAGCAGGGAAGGGGGACCAGCTACAGAGCTCCTTATAGTGTATCATCTCTGATAGGGACTTTGCAACTCTCTGTAGCCGGAGCCCTGGACCTGGAGCCGGCCACATGGGTAGCAGGCATAGCTTGCACACTCCGCTTGAATGTACCTCCAGGAATCATGCCCTTGCTCAGGCCGTCCTTATTGTCTGAAGTCAGCAGCAGCTCCACAATGCCACGGTCCTCCAAGGCCTGTGGAGCAAGAACACAAACCAGAGTTGCCTCCTCTGAGCTTCTGCAGGGGTGTGCAGCTGGCAATGCAGAAGGCCACATCCAGGAGACACGTGTACTGTTCCAGAGATCAGAGGCAAATCCACTCCCCCTGGGCCTGCTTTGTGCAGCCAAGCTCCAGTGGGACTGCACCCCAGTCACAGCAAGGGACGGGATATCAAACTATTGTCTGCTTTCCTGCTCTGAGGCTTGCCCCATCCTGTGTGCCAACTGCCTGCAGGGCTTGTGAGAAGGTCCCTACACCTACAGCTTTCCCTTCACACAGGATGAGCCAAGATGGACTTGGTCAACAGCCAGGGCCAGGGGAGCCCGGCTGAATCCCATGAGAGCAGCAAGCGCTGAGTCGATGCTGGAAGAAGTGAAAGCAGCAGCTGAGAAGCAGCCAAGGGTTTCTGTTAATGTGTTAAGGGTGGAGACTTCCGCCCAGTGGGTGGTCTTTGGGCTGCTGGGCACTTGCCTGCGGAGCTGGTTGTTCCAAAGTGGTTGGGATGCTTAAGCTTAGTCAAGCCTCACTCCTTCTCTTGCCTGGCTCCTCCCTCCACACTCCAGCCAATGGGGACCTCAGATCTCTGCCTGTGAACCTTTAATATGCAAGCCAAAAGAGGCAGTCTTCTCTCCCTAACAGGCTCCTCTCCGGCATTTTTGTCTGTTCGTTACAGTAATGAAAGGGTGCAGACAGCCTGAGCAAGGCTGGACATGATGCGGCAGCCTCTAGGGCTCAAGGGAGCTTCCCACGATCTGATTTCAAGATGACATTTAAGCTAAACTGTTCTAGAAGCAAAGAAGGTAGAGAGAATCTTGTGGATGACTAGTAGAGGGGTGCTATCACTCCCAGGGACAACAGATGCCAAACAGTCAAGGTTTCTGTCAAAATTCCACCTTACCTCACCTAATATTCCACACACATCTAGGTTCCCGTGGCAAATATACATACTGTTCACAGGCTGTAGTGTTCTGGCTCCACCTCTGAGGGCTAATTGGTATTTCCTGGATGCCAGGGATCTGCCAAGCACAGCCGAAGTCTTGGTGTCTGCCATTCTCCCAGAGGCATCCATGTCTCTCTCTAAGAGTATGACCAAACAGGCTTGGGAAAAGGAGGGGGCTCATTCATCTGGAAAAGCTGCATCAGGCTCAGAGAGGTCCTCCCCAGAGCCCCCAGGATGAGAGCATTGCGGCTCCATGGCTCTGCCCTCCTGTGCCACATGCAAGACCTTGGACCACTGAGCAGGCAAGGTCCCTGCGGAAATCCACACCACTGTGCAGCTCAGGAACCGAGTGAACAACTGCTGGAAAAAGCCCAAGGCAGAAGGTATTCTCAACGGCTCTGGAGCAGCAGCAACTTTTGTCCCTGTGCTTGGGTAGGCTCTTTCCAGCTAACTCAAACAGGAACCTGGAGGTGTGCCCTTGGCCGTCCGGACTGAATGAGGCCTTGACAGCTGGAGGAGTGCTGCCCTCCTCAGATGGCCTGCTCTCCTCCCAAGAGGGCTTTGCAGGTGAGAAGAACAGAGAGAGAACCAGGAAGCCACAAGCTGGAGGGGTCTCCAGGCTACAGGGATGGGATTAATCCCCAAGCAGAAATTGAATCAGCTTGTCATCATGGAAGAAAGGGCCCCAGGGCACCAAAGTCCAAAGCCAAAGTCATTCAGTCCAGTGGATCACTTCTCTGTCTCTGTGTGTCTGCCTGACTCTAGATACATTACATAAAATAAAGCTCTTATTTTACTGACAACTTACGGTATGCACAGGAGCTTCTGTCACAATTCACACAGGCATGCTTTAGTACCACTTACATATACACACACACATGCACTTGTTTGAAGTCCTTAGAAATCGGCTCTGAGTATATGCTTGTTCCTGTAAGTGTTACCCTGGTCCTGGCCTTCCCTGATCTCCTTGCAATGGGTCAGCAATTCTCCACTTGCCACACACTGGGAACAGATGCATGAGAACTGCATGGACACTTATTGAATTCATAGGTCACACGGCCAGGAAGTGATGGCTGAGAACAAACACCTGAGGGATTCTCATTTCACTGAAAAGGCTTATGGCCAGACACAGGGATTTTGAGAACTCCCCAGATAAAACTCATCTACGTCAGATGCCAGCAGCCTCTCCAGCATGTGTTCCCAATCATCACCACTCAATCAAGTCAATTTTGGCAGTGGAGGCCCCTGCCACCTGAGGTGCATACTGCAATCCCCATATAAATCCAAATGATTGGTGAATGATATCCCCGTTGAAATAAAACAACAGCAATTACTTAGACAAATGCACCGAGTGTTGGGATACATGGTACCAGTAAGGGGGGACTATCAGCCCCACAGGGCCTAGTCCACAAAACATTCCTGGGGAAACATGAAAGAATGAACTGAAGCAACACTTACCTTCTTGATGTAAGGCATGTAGGCAGGGTCTTTGTTATAGGAGCCATACTCATTTTCCACCTGCACAGCAATGATGGGTCCCCCATGTTTGTACTGGGAGGAAGAGATGAGGCATCAAAAATGGAGTTTCCAGTGGGAACAACATTATCTAAATTCACAACAGGTACAACAAATTGCTAGAGAAGCATCTCGTTGCAAAGTGAAAGGATACTAAGCTTCGGTGTGCCCTTAAGGGTTGTGTTAGTCAAGCAGTAGAATAGGAACAATCAGTACTCTATCTTGGGAGCATTTCCACAAGTTCTGGAAACTGAAGCTGTAAGCGCAGCAGCAACTGCCACAATCAAGAGCAAGCTGCATGCTAGATGTCAGGACATCTGTCATAGTTCTCTTTACCCACAATCTGTTTCCTCCTCAGTGACATGATGTGGTAGGAAGCATCCCAGTTCCCACTTCTCCCTCTCAGGATGGAAGACACAAGATGCAATTTGTTTCCCTTGTTTTGACCTGTCTGTTAGATGGCTAAGGGACCAGTTTCTACCTTGTCTGACTTGGAGCTCAGACAGGGAATATCAGATTAATGTAAACCTCTTAGGCTAGGAGGTGAAGAAGGCAATGACAGTTGCTGTAACTCGGAGTCTAGAGACCTCAGCAAGCCTGGTGTTGGGACTTAGGGGTAGAAGAACGTTAACAGAAATATGGTCTCAAGAAGCTGATGGGAAACAAAGACGTGTAAAAATAAGCAGGGCTGAGGTGAGGAAGACACACTCACAAACTCTCTCTCTCTCTCTCTCTCTCTCTCTCTCTCACACACACACACACACACAGATACACACAGACACACACAAGTGCAGATAGGACAAAATCCCAGACAGGAGCTCAGATTCTAGCTTGATCTCGAGGCTACCAATCAAAGTAAAGCTCATCTTGGTCTGCAAACACTGGGATATGTCATGATTTTTGCTTTTGAATGTTTTCAAATACAATGTTTACAAAATGTTTACACAAACCCAAAGCATAAAAGACATAGAGAAACCTAGCTCATTCAAAGGAACAAATTAAATCTCCAGAAGCAATCTCTGAAGAAACACACATGTATACCCTATACTCTAAGTAGATCTTGTAACAACGTCCATCAATACGATCAAGGAGCCAATGGAAAAAAAAAAATAAAGAAGTAAGATAATCCAGTAAAATGACAAATCAGCAGTATGAAAAGTATCAATAAAGAGATAGAAATGACCAAAAGAATCAAATGTAAAATCCAGAGATGACAAATACATATCTGCCCCTGGGCAACATCACAGAGCAGTCCAATGTATTCATTTTGGGAACCACAGCAGGAAAAGGGGAGGACAAAAATACATTATTTGAAGAATTCTCAGAATTGAGGAAATAAAAGCTTAATAATCTCCAAGCAGGATAACCCAGTCAGTCCCATAGGACAAATGATCCTTGAGATCACTGAAAGTCAAAACCCGAGAAAGACATCCTCAGTAAAGCTGTTAGGGTGTCTCAGCAGGCACCTGTGGACCAGGTCACAGTGGGGAGAGGCATTTAAAAGGCGAGATGGAAAAAACAAGTCCATGTACAGCAAAGCTATCTCTCAAAGGTGAGAGAGAAGTTAAGAGACTCTCAAAGAAAATCCAAGCTTATTACTCAGTTGCACTTGTTGCACCTGTTGCATTTAAAAATTATATTGCGGGCCCAGCGTGGTGGCCAAGTGGCTAAATCTTTGCCTTACATGTACCAGGATACCTTATGGGCGCTGGCTGGTTCATGTCCTGGCTGCTCCACTTTCCATCCATGTCCCTGCTTGTGACATGGCAAAGCAGTAGAAGACGGCCCAAAGCCTTGGGACCCTGCATCTGCGTGGGAGACCCAGAAGAAGCTCCTGGCTCCTGGCTTCTGCTCAGCTCAGCTCCGGCCACTGAGGCCACTTGGAGAGTGAACCAGCAGATAGATCTTTCTGTCTCTCCTTCTCTGTGTAAACCTGCTGCTTTCTAATAAAAATAAATAAATCTTAAAAGAAAGAATTATATTGAATCTGTTAAAAACTAACTAGGAAAAAATGCAAAGACAAAAACAAAACATCCCTGGGTTTGATTCCTAAATCTGGCTCCTGACTAGCTTCCTTCTAGTGCAGATCCAGGAAGACAGCCTTACTAGCTCGAAGATGGGATTCTGACCAACTCCCCTGCCCCTGAATTCAGCTCTAATCCAGCCCCTGCCATTTCAGACATTCGAGGATTGAGACCGAAGATGAGAACTCTCTTCTTTCTCTCTGCCTCTCAAGAAATTAATCAATACATAAGCATCACGCTAAAATTCAATTTGGCACAAAGCAAGGCAGTAATGGAAGAGACGAGGCCCTAAATAAAGGACAAAATAAGAGACACTGAACCAGCAACAGTGTTTATTAGTAATTACTTTAAAGGGTTTAAATGTTTCAACAAAAGAAAAAAGAAAGAAAGAAAATCAATAAACCAAAGCTATCCACATTCATGGATTGGAAGACTTAATATTGCTAAAATTTCAATACTAACCAAAGAGACGCACAGATTCAGTGCAATCCCTACCAGAAGTCTCAACAACGCTTGGAATAACACAGAAAATGCCATCTTTAAAGCTCACAGAAAATCTCAAGAGACATGGAGGAAACAAAGGTGGAGAAGAAGAAAAAGTCAGGGATCTCAAACCATCCTGATTTCCGAACTCACTGCAATGAGACAGTAACCAAACAGTGCAGGGCTGGAGTAAACTGAGACCTGGTCAAGCAATCTTTGACAAGATTGTGTTCCACAAATGGTGGAAACAGTAGATATTCACATACGGGGTGTGAAGCTAGACATAGGCAAGAATTAACTCAAAAATAAAGATCTACACATAACAGCTAGAAGAATTTAATTCTTAGGAGAAACCACAGTGAAAATGCTTCGAAACATTGGATTTGGAAGTTATTTCTTGAATATGGTATCATGAATAAAGGCAACAAAAGAAAAATGTAGATATGCTAGGCTAAACCAACTTAAAACTTCTGTGCAAAAAAAGGACACTAACAGAGTAAAAAGGAAAGCTACGTATGGACGAGAATGTTTTCAAATCCAATAATTAATATCTTAACAAATAATTGATATAAATAAGTTTTATAACTCAACAACAAAATACATGGATTCAACAACAGGTCAATAGGGTTGCTGTTGGGGCACAGAGGGTAAAGCTGCCACTTGTGACACTGGTATCCCAGATGGGCATCAGTTCATGTCCTGGCTGCTGTACTTCGAATCAAGCCACTTGCCAATTGTCTTGGAAAAGGAGCAGGAGATAGCCCAAGTGTTTGGGCTACTCCCATACACATGGGAGATCAGGATGAATTTTCTGGCTCTCATCTTCCACATGGCTATTGTAGGCATCTCAGGAGAAAATGGGTAGAAGGTGTTTTTCCCTTTCTCTGTAACTCTAACTTAAAATAAATAAATAAATAAATCTTTAAAACTGCAAAAAACTTGATCAAGTGTTTCTCCAAAGATACCCAAATGCCTGATAAGCAACATGAAAAGCTGGTCAATATCATTAGTCATTGTGGAAATGTATGTCACAACCACATTGAGATATTACATAACACACAGTAGGATGGCTCTTATCAAATAATAAGAAAATAACACATTTTGACCAGGAAGTGGAAGAATTGGAATGCTTAGGGACTAAGCGTGGAAATTCAAAATGGCTTGACTCCTGAATTCCTGTGGAAAATATCATGGCAGGTCCTCAGAAAATTAAACATGGAATTGTTATTTGATGCAGAAATCTCATTCCTGGATATCTATACCCCAAAAAGTAGAAGTAGGAACTTGAAAACATACTTGGGCGTCATGTTTATAACAGCCATATGGTCACTGCGAAATGGTTAAGAACTGGGTGCCCATCACTCTGTGAATGGATAAGCCACAGATGCTTATCCATCCATCTTATACAGACACAATGGAGTACTCGCCAGGCTTCACAAGGAAGGAAATCCTGACACATTACAGCCATCAGCCACAGAAGCAAACAGAATGGTGACTTTCAGAAGCTGTGGAGGTAGAAAACCAGGACTTTATGGGTGCAGGATTTCAGCTAGGAAAGATGAAGACTTGTGGCAATGAACAGACTGCAATGCACTTTTATTTTTTGTGTTCCCCTAAGTTCATATGCTGAAACCCTGATTCTCTCTGAAAGGTGATTGGTTTATGAGCAAGGCCCCTCTCAAATGGAACAAGTGCCCTAATAAAAGAGACCCCCCACCCCAAGAGCTTTCTCACTTTCTGCCACATGAGCATACAAGACCACTGTCTGAAATGTGAAAGAGGGCCTCCCCCAAAACCAAGCATGCTGGCACCCAGACCTCCAGACTGTGGGGCTGTGACAAGTAACTTCTTCCTGATAACAAGATACCCAGGCTATGATGCCTCATAACAGATTCCTAGATTAAGACAACGGTAATCACTGCACAAGTTTTAAATTGCACCCTGTTTAAATTACATGATGAAATCTCATTCCAACCTAGGTCATCCTGCCCGGGACAGGAATCATCCCTACATTCAGCTTATCTACATACATGTTACCCACTGGATTCAGCAGTATTGATGGTTTGAACTTATCTCCTGAGGCACATAATGCGTCAGAGACAAATGATCTGGCCTAGCACTTTAGACACCAGTTGAGACATTGACATCCAACGCTGGAGTGCCTGCACTCCCGGCCGTGGACGATGTCAGATGATGGCTCGAGTGGTTGGGTCCTCACCCCTCCAACAGAGATTTGGATCGGGTTCCTGGCTCCAAGCTTCAACCTAGCAGAGTATCTGCAGAGTGAATCAGGGGATGGAGTCTTTCTGTCTCTTTGTCTCTCAAGTAAGAACCAGTTAAAAAAAGAGAAGTGCTCAAATGGCTAATACGACACATTTTATAATGCGTATTTTCCATTAAAAAAAATGAAGTGTATAAAATCATGTTACACCAGGAAACAAACATTTAAGGAAGTCATTTCTACATCTAAGGATACCTCCAAGCTTGTATTCCCACAACGGCCTCCCCAGCCTAACCTATTACGGTCACCTGCTGGGCATCCAACAGCCCAATCTCCTTGCAAAGACAGGCTAATAGCTGAGACCATCCGGACCTGCTGAGGTCTTGGCCACACCTTCAGGTGGGCTGCACCAGCACTGCCCACCCATTTCCTAACTAATTAAGAGGCCACCAATGGGGAACGTCTTATGTGTAGGTTCTCCACCCAATAAGGAGGGGTCATGGAATGCTTAAAATCCCAAGACCCTCAAACCTTTGGTGTCTCTCCCACCTCCTGGCTTTCTCTCCAGAGGTGCTTTCCCTTCCCTCTCCCTTCCCTGCTCACCTGGTCCCTTTGCAAATAATCTTTTCTGTCTGCAACTGATTCCTGGCTTTTTATTTCTATTCTAAGCTGAGGAAAGAACCCACCGCACATTTCTGGTAATAACTTCCCAGATTCTTCCCAGCTTCCTTCATGATTAGGGCTGCTATTAAATCTGTTAAAATTGATTCATAATATTTGTACACAAATAGTGAGTTTTCAAATCTAAGTGTGGACCACAAAACATTTAGAATCTATTTATGCAAAAATATCCATCCTTGCCTATAATATTCAAATTTAACTTAGTATCCCATCTTACCTGGTGGCTCCCTGATTAGTGTGTTCTGTAAATATTACAAACCACTGGCTCAAGAGTAATATTTCCTAGATGTACTAATTTCTCAATGCCATTCTTTACAGTTTTATGTAAGTGGTTAGGTTAGCTATTCCCATTTCTATTTTTGTTTGTCTCACTTCCATTATTACATGGAATGCTTAGATTGTTACTTAAAGAATTAATTCCAGCAAATAGGTTTTCAATAGTAAGTGTAACATACTGGAAGTCATTAACTGGGATTTTTCATTACATAGAGTCAGGCTGTTGTACAAACCAGGGCCAGTCCACATGTCCTGCCCAAGCAGAACTGTGCCATTGTGTGTTCACAATGCCCACAGTGGCTGTTTACTAGTAAGACATCCGAGCCTTGCAGCCCCAGCACTCAGTGCATGGAGCAGTCTATTCTTTCACCTGTCTGCTTTCAGTACTGCCTGAGAGCAAAGTGCACAGACCTCTCCCTCCCTCCCTGGTCCCCTCCTTTTTTTTTTTTTTTTAAAGCAGAGTCACAGAGAAAGGGAGAGATTTTCTACCAGATGGTTCCCTTCTCAAGTGGCTTGTCTACAGCTGGGAGCCAGGAGCTTCTTCTGGGTCTCAAATGTGGGTGCAGGTGCCCAAGCAGTTGTGCCATCCTTTGCTGCTTTCCCAGGCACATGGAGCAGGGAGCTGGATCACAAGTAGAACAACCAGGACTTAAACTGGTACCCACATGGGATGCTGGCTTTACCCACTACACCAACAGTGCTGGCCACAATGCACAGATCCTTCAGGATACAATGACTTCAAGCCCTTCCAATTACAAATCCTAGGCACTGGATAGGAACATATTCCTCTGATGAGAAGAACTGTAGGACCTTGGTTCCAAGGACCAACCCAAGGTTACAAATAAGAAGACAGGCAAAGATCAAGGTAAAGTCTGTTTGCTTTACCTGGAGTGGCACCACTCTAGACATCAGGTGATCGAAGTAAAGGTCCACTGCTTCGGTGAAGCCCTTGTAAGTGGTTCTCAGCTGCATGCCAGGGTCTTGGAGTAGCCAGCTTGAAGTCAAAAGTGCAGGGTAGAGTGTTAGTATTGTGTGGCTCAGCTTGTGCATAAGGAAGCAACTTCAGGGAAGCTTAGAGACCCGGAAGGAGGGGTATTGGTTCTCAGCCACTGCCTACTCCCAGTATATGGGAGACCAGGCAAATGGACTCAGACATCAGCACCCCATGCAACAGTGTCTGCTCGCCTGCTCTCCCTAGGGCTTCCTGACCCACTGACCCTGCCCTGCTGAGAGTCCAGCCCCAGATCTGTATGCACTGGCAGCTGTTGCTTTCAGGCTGAGGGAGAAGCTTGTCACAGGACTCATAGTGCAGCTCTCCATTTGATTCACAACACTCTTACAAATGGCTGGAACCCAAAGGGTAAGGAATCCCAGGGCTGGAGATTGGGGAACACTGGGAAGAGGCGCGTCCTCCAGCCTTGTTGGCCACCAAGAGGCTGACATGTCCAAGGAACCACACTGGCCAGGAACCACACCATCCAGGAGCCACACTGGCCACACAGGGTTTAGGACAGGGCGACTGCAGGCCAGTATGGAGATGAACTCTTCTGTAACCTGGCTGCAGGCAATTGCAAGGTTCAAGTCGAGATAGGCCCCACTTGCAGATAAGAGAGAAAACACCATTTCCTAACATTTCCGAAGGTTCTTTTGTCTAGATTTATAAATGCTCAATGGCATCAAGGCAGCCGTGTTAAAAGAAAAGTAGAGGGGAAGACAATAGTAGCACCGGCCTCCATGCTCCAACTCACACTCACAAGAATGCTCCAGTTCCTATTGTCACCCTCAGAGCTGCATCACTCCGCACACCCTGCTCTTTCTAGGTTAAGACCCTAAAACCCTGGCGCGTCCGCTGTAGCTGAACCTGAGCCTCTGCAAAGTGCTGACGGTGGCACACAGATCTAATCTGCAGGAACACCCTGGGCTGCTCAGCTGTTTTTGCAGCCTTGCCCAGGGCACTGTGCCAGGGTGAACAGCTCAGTGATGGTGCAGTCGTCTTGGGAGCTGGGGGAGATGGAGACAGAGGCTGTAGCCCTAAGGGAAAGGCAGGTAGTTGGAAACCAGAGAGAAAGCAATACTTGCTGTCTGCAGCTGTGTGGAAAGCAGGCCCCTCCAGGACATGGCAGGCACACAGGGCAGGGTGCCTGGACTTAGCACCAGAACACTGTATGGCTGGGGAAGAAGCTATCCCTCACCCCAATAACCAGGCTATTCACTATGTCAACAGCAGAAAGTTCTCCTGACCCAGCAGAGAACACACATGAGGAAATGCATTAGCGCTTACGGTTTGGAGACAAAACTCTAACAGCCACTTCTCTTACACTGAATCCAAATAAATGGACTTTGCATATGACACTCAGAAACACCCCATGACAACAGGGCAGATTTAGTTCTTTCCATTTTGCATGAAGGGGAAGAATATGATGTTCAGAATAAAGGCACTGCCCAGGCTTGCAACTCTGCAGCTGGGCCCTAAGGATGACACGGTGCTGGCAGATCCACCCTCCCCAGCAACATCAAGTCACACACAGGGGATTGTGCCAGGACAACAACTATGACCTCATTCAAAATGACCCCCAGGGATGCCAACTGTTCAAAGTGTTCCAATAAAGAAGCTTCGGTATATACCAGAAATTCTATTTTAAGACCAAAACTAACAGCTCTATCTGTGACAGGTTTGCACCTCACAGACCCTTCAAGCTGCATGGGAGACCCTCAGGGTCCTGCTTACCTGGGCAAGCCCCCAAGGTCAATCTCACTGCAGATGTAAGGGCCTGGACGCAGAATCACCCACAGCCCGATCTCTGCCGCCATCAGCACAAAGGCCCTGGGAAGGTAAAACTGCCTCAGCACCGGGCCAGAGTCAGGGCAGAGGCCATGTGTGAGGGAGCCTGTATGGACTGCACTGCACAGAAGGTTCCTGCATCTTCCCCATCCTCCATCTACCAAAAAAAACTTAGGGTGATGGTGAGGCTCAGCCCCACTCCAGCTGAGCAGGGCATCCTAGGCTAGCTCAGAGTCTGGAGGTCCTGGCACCTGGGGTCTCACTTGTTCCCAGCCTCAGCAACACCTGCATAGCCTCACTGTGGTTCTGAAAAGAGATTAAAAAAAAAACAGCAAGGGAGTCATAAAAGTGAGCCAACACCAACTGCCCTGCTACCCTACCTTAGGTGAACAGGCTCCATTGTAGTACAGTCCTAGCTAGGGTCATCAGCTCCTTTACGATGTAGTGCAGAGCGACCTGAGGGGTGGTAGGCCTGGTGTATCTGGGAAGCAGCACACTGCTGGGGAGCATCCCATCTCATGTGCTGAGAACAGGGCTCTCAGCACAGACCAGCACACGGCTGGGCAGCATCCCACTCTGGTGCTGACAGTAAGGTTCTCACACAGACCAGCACACAGCTGGGCAGCATCTTACTCTGGGCTCTCAGCACGGAGGCAGCACACTGCTGGGCTCCTAATCCACCCATGTAACCACCTATCAGATTCGTCCTCTAGCCCCAGGAACATCAGCCCCACATACTCCAGATCCAGGTTCCCAGAGAAGTCAAATTTGCCTCTTTCTGGCTCGTGGAGGTTCCAGGGAACATAGCTGTAATAAAAAAGACATGGGTGATGATAAACAGACTGTCCTTCCTCCTACTCCACTTCTCAGACGATCTCTTATCCACACTTCCATCATGTTCTTCAGGAACTTGAGGATTGTGGCAAAGAACAACACTGGAGACCTTAAAGAATCGGGGTGGGGGGGAGGGTGACTGTAGGAAATCTAGGCTTCATTTGCATAGTGGAAGCATGAGAGAAGTCACCAAGATTTAGGGACACACAGATAGGTTGAGGAAAGGGGCAGCCTCTGTGACGGGGTCAGCTTGCTACCCACAGCCTCACATCCTTCATCAGATGGAAGACGCAATTACATGGGAAACAGAGTAGTGACCAGCCCCATTATACAGAAGCATTCAGAATTACAAACCCAGCTGTTGAATGGAGATTTTATCTCAAACGCAATGATGGAATATGAACTAAGCAGTGCTTCTCGGGAGGCAGGAGGTACGATTCCCGTGTCACACGGAAATGACAGCTGCTCCTCTCCAGTTCCCATTCCATCTGGGCACCGCCAACCACCCAGGGTGCTCATGGGTTCCAAGTTCATACGAATACAATAGTACCTGATTCTGTGGGGAGAATGTGTTCCCTGAGACATCCCTGGAACCCCCACGAGGTTCAATCATGCCACCCAACTCAGCACCTTCCACTTCCATTAGGGACCAAAGGCACAGTTCACAGCACTCAAGGAAACCCATTTAACTTGGTTCATCATCACCTATGTTTGATTGAAAAACAGATATTCCAAACTGATGCCTCAATTTATTTTGTAGATTTAAAGCAAGCACCTATTGTCATTTAAAGTGAATCTTACCAAGATCGTTCCACCCGGGAGTGTTTTTGAAATGGATATCCTACTTAGCCATTTACTGTGTACCAATCATTGTGCTAGGAGCACTGAATTCTGAAAACCACTTCAAAAGAGAGAGCTAAAAGTGGTGAGTGAACATCTTCTCAGGTAGCTGGCATCAAGAAGAGCATAGTCATGTGGCTTCCATACTGTGGTGGGGCACTACTTGCTTAAATATATATTTTCAGTCATTAAATCACCATCTACATCCACATTTAACTTCTCCTATGATGGGGCTTCAAAAATTTATAGAAGTTGGAATTAAAAGCTACGTTTATTTCGATGCAAAGAAATTTTGAGGACACAGCATGATGTCTCAACTGGCTAATTCTTTGTCTCCAGGTGCCAGTATCTGATACGGCACCAGTTCAGGCCTCAGATGCTCCATTTCCCTTCCAGCTCCCTGCTATAGCCTGGGAAAGCATTAGAGGATGGTCCAAAGGCTTGGGACCCTGCACCCATATGGAAGACCTGGAAGAAGATCTTGGCTCCTGGTTTCAGGTCAGCTCAGTTCTGGCCATTGCAGCCATTTGGAGAATGGACCAGCAGGTGGAATATCTTCATCTCTCCTTTTCTCTGTAAATCTATCTTTCTAATAAAAGAAAATAAATCTCTTTATAAAAAAGCAAATTCCATGGAGTTTTCAAAAAGCTCTCATATTCTTTCACGTATTTTATGTTATTTCTGTGAAAGGTAGAGTGGGAGAGAGTGGCCAAGAGAGAATCACCCCTCATTTCTCAAATGGCCGCAACAGCTGGGGCTGGTCCAGGCTTAAGCCAAGAACAAGGAACTCCATTTCAGTCTTTCACGTGGATGGTGGGGACTCAAACACCTGAGCACTAGAATCATTCTTGCTGTTTAACCAGACGCATTAGCGAAGAGCTGGATCAGAGGTAAAACAGGCAGGCTTTGAACCAGAGCTCAGATATAAGGTGCACTGCAGGCAATCTGCCACTGCAGCTTAATCTGCCACCATAAGGTCAGTGCCACTTCATATTCTTGAATGTTTCCCTGCTACTTTAGTTCCCCTAGGGCTTTTCTCCATTTTACATCTTTTCACATCCATCAGCTGGAATGGCACTCTTACACTTCAATCCCAAGCAGCCACCTGGTAACCAGGCTTGCTGGAGGCACGGGCACACACTCACGTGGTGAGAGTATTCAGGCCACAGGCCTTCATCTTGAGCAAGCGATCCCTCCAGTATTCCCTGGGCACCCGGAAATAGTGTACAGAGCCCCCGAAAATCCAGAAGGTCGAGTCTTCCAGCATGAAGTTCTGGACTCCGGCAGTGAGTCCTAACTGACGATGTCGAAGCCACAGTGGGATCAGAGTCCTCCATTCCAACCTGAAAGGAGAAAAGGCCTTTCTGGAACCTGGACCCTTTGCAGCAGCAATCAGCAAAGGAAACAAAGAAGAGAGCTGCATACTTGGCTGCTTCCGCAGGCCCTCAGCATCTCTCTGTTCCAGAGTAGTTAGACTAAGCCCCTACCCTCGAAAAGGTCAAACCTTGGAAGAAGTTCTCCTGCCACAACTCTCACTAGGCAGGGTCCCTTTGTCAGGGAACTGCTAATGCCACAGTTAGGAACAAGACACACACAGCGCTCGACATGAAGACTTGGGGACTAGAAGGGGAGAGGGTAAGGCAGGATCAGGCTACGTCGGAAGGGGGATGCTCTAGTCTGGGGACTCGGGACCAGGTGCAGCTTACAGGAACTGCCTAGGCTGTCACTCAAACATTAAACATAAAACTACTTCTGACAATACCTGCGAGTCCCCTCCCGGTCACAGCTGATGGACTCACGGCGTAGGTATCTGCAAAGAGGCAACTGTATTAACCAGCGTCTATTCATCAACCACACACACAAGTCTTGATTGGGCTCTGAAGACCAAGCCCAGCACAGAGACAATGCAGCCCAACACACAGCCTGCTTAGGGATGCCTTGGGGAAAGTCCTGGTCAGTGAAAATGCACCTGCTTGCATCTCTCAGGCTGGTCAATGGGAGCACTTGAGGACTCCATGCTTCTAGAACTCCATCTTCTTCCCTTGCCTCATCCGGAAGGATGTGCGAGGGCCAGTGAGAGTGGCCATGCAGCTGGGAGTTTTGAGCTAGCATGTTCAGGAAAGTCAGTCTGGTGCAGAAGCAAAGTTTACCCTATGTCTTTCCCCTTAATTACTGTGGCTCCTGCTATCAGGACTCACAGAACTGGGCAGGCCCTCTGCACAGAAAAGTTCCCTGAGTTTTCAGTAGTAGTGTGAGCAGGTTTGGGGGCCCTGATGGCCAAAGGCAGGGGATCAAGAGGTGCAATGACACTGCTAGCTATCTGGGAATTTTGTCTAGGTCTACTCTGCGCTCCCCTGCTTCTCGCCATGCTGTTCATACTGAGGCTGTGGCCTCTGCAGCTCTGCTATGGCCCAGTTGAAACAGTCTTAGATGAGTAAGCCGGAAGCAAACACCAATTGTTGCTCTACTTTAAGAGAAAGATTCCGCATTCCGATGAATGACTTGCAAATGACACTTTAGGATACAGGTTTTCCAAAGTATTGTTCTGTGGGGCAAGGAATCAGAATCAGCATCTAGAAGAGGACAGTCTAGGGCAGACTCCTGGCGCATCCTTGATGAGGACACTTGATGAGGACACTTCATCAAGTTCATGGAAAATGTGATTACAATGCAAATTTGTGGTTGGCTTTCACCCTCACAGTTGGTCTCCCATGTTACAAATTAGAGTGCACGGGTTCGATTCCTGCCCCTGGCACCTGCTACTGGCTTCCTGCCCATGCAGCTCCTGAATGCCACACCAGAAGCTGAAGTCACACCCATGCTCCCTATCGGGTGACCCCTCATAAAACATTTTATGTGCTAGGCTTTGTGCCGAGCCATTTCAGCACAATTTCTAAAATTCAGTAGAGGCAGTCTACACATAGGGCTTCTATCAGATCATGCAGCTCCTCGAGCGTGGGTTAGCCACAGCGGGCCCCACGCCAAATCTAGCATGCCGCTTGTCTGGGTCACCTATAAGCTGAGAACAGTTCATGGTAGTCACTTGTTAAGTAGTTGAAAAAAAATGAAATAATAAGATTAGGAGAGACCAAATACCCTATGAACGTCACATTTAAGTGCTTATAAATAGCAGTATTGGCACACAGTCACACTCCCATGCCTATATTGTCATCACAGGTATGTGCAGTCACTTGCAATATTTACTGTCCAGCACTTTGCAGTAAACCTGCTCACCTCTACCCTAGCAGGCAAAACCCTGGATATTTAAATGAGGTCACAGGATCCCTCGGAGGTACTGCCCTTAGCTACCTCCTTTCTGTGGGCTAAGAGCTCCTGACCTTTCTGGCTTTGTCTGAATGAACCCACACCTCAGACACAAGGCAATTTCTGTCTCCCCTGACATTGACCACACCTACTCCAAAGAACATATTCTGCCCACCTGCCCAGTCCTCATCAGGCTTATCTGCTCTCAGCTCCTGAGGCTCCGGGCCCTATGTGCCTACAGGACTGGCCCCTGGTCAGCCTGAGCAAAGAGATTCTTTTGTTAAAAGCACTGGCATTGTGATAGTCTAGAGTTTCTCTCTCTTTCTCTTTGTGTGCGTGTGTGTGTGTGTGTGTACGTGTTTGTAACTACCTCTCCCTCCCTGATTTTTAAGACAGGGATGCAATAACTTAGCAATTATTCACATACTGTTCTTTGGCCGGATCTTCAACAGCACTATATCCAATTCTTCAGCAAGGCACACAGCATTAATGCTATGCATAGGTGTGGGGATGAAGGCCTCCTGGACACACTCTGCAAAGAACGGAGATGTTGGCAGAGTGGGGAGGTGCTGTATGGGATTCTTACTTCAAGAAAGTTCCTACTGGTGACAAACTGTCTTAATTCTGCAGCATTTTAATGAGGAATCATCAGGAGACCTCTCGCTGATCTCTCAGTGGGTTCTGCGGAATCCGAGTGTCTTCCTCAGCAATTTGGAAATGCAGAAACTAGGCCTTACCTAAGACTCGTTAAATCAGAACCTGCTATTTTAACCCTATCTTGGATTTAAAGCTTGAGAAGCACTAAGCTGCAGCTTTTCCCCTGATACAGGTGTATGCAATCTCTCCCTGCCAAGAGCTTTTTTGTGAGTGTCTTTTTACCCCGTGATTTCCTAGATTTGACGAGAAGTATCTTCTGGCCTTCGGCCTGGAGGGTCAGCTGCCTGCATGCTGTATTGGAGAGCCCATCAAGCACCTGCCTCCAGCCTCCCACTAACACAGACACTGGGAGTGACAGTCCAGCTATTAGGCCCCTGCCATCCACATGGGACACTTGGGTTGAACTGCTAAACACCAGGCTTTAGTCTGGCCCAGGCCCAGCTGGGGCAAGCACGGCAGGCTTATGGAGAGCAAACTAGCTAATGAAGCACTCCCTTCCTCTCGCTCTCTGTGCCTCTAACATAAAAAATGAAAATAAAAGAATAATTCTTTCCAAAGGCTTATCATGAAACATGAAATAAATATCACAAAGAAAAAAAAAATGCCAGCTGTTACCAGATCCTAAATTCTTTAGATAATTAAATGCCTTTCTTTCAGGAAATATTCTGGAGGGTATTAGACAAACTATCAACACATTAATGAAAGGGATGATTTCATTGGGAAAATGATGATAAATATTGGTTTCCTCCAAGGAATTCACTGTGAGAAGACGAGATGATAAAACTCGGAGCTTCATAAATGACAGTGTGCTGCACGAATGCTTATTAACACTAATAATGATCATTAATACTAATGCCTACTGCATCACATACAAATAATCTCCCATAACTTCCTGAATAACTAGTTCAGTAATCAATGCAGGCAATGTGTTTGATTCAAAGTTCAGAGAGACACAGGTTTGTAATGAGCAGGAAAGTAAACCCCCAGGAATCCCATTATGTCTTTCTTGCTTTTACCAATGAACTGCTCTTTCACAGTGAGACTAGGGCGCCTCTGTCCTTTCAAGCAGGAATGCATCTCAATACCTTCCTCTGGAATTATTGCACCTTGACTTCATTTTCAGCCCCATGACATTCTGGTCCCAGGAACAACTGGACAGCGAGTGGGCCATGGCCATTGCCCATACTGTCCTTAGGTTTGTTTGTCCAGTCTTCCCCTGTACTCCCACCTAGAAAAGGAAGTGAGCATGTGCACAGCTCCTGGAGGAAAACTCCTGCATCAGGACTTCCAGCAGGCCTTCATCCAATACAACACACCCTCTATACTCTAAGACACAAAAATGGTTTTAATGCAAACAGGAAGCAAAGAACAAAGGTCCTGAGATCCAAGCTCTCCATCAAGCTGTGCCAGTGAGGAAGCAGTGGAAGAGGAGGGCTTCTTATACTTTGTTCTTGGTCTCTGGAGTGCATCGTGAGGACAATGAGCACAGTAGATTCACGCAGGGTGGCCTGGGCATGGTGAAAGTGCTGCTGGATATGTATGAATAGAAGTGGGTATAACTGCTTTCACTGGAATGAGCCTACAAATTGACTTTGAAGTCTTACAGGGTGTAGGAGGTGAGATGAAAGTTAGATCCAGCCACCTCCTTGAATATCAGAAAGCATCTCTCCCTATGTTAGTGTAAACCCTACAAAATAACAAGTATTGGGGTTGGGTGGCAGAACAGCTCACCTAGATCACAGATCTCTGGTTCAGCCATTTGGTCTACCAGTGTGAGTCTAACCATGCTCAAATGGACCAGTATCCACACACTTGGCCACTGTAGAGACAGTGTTATGAGCTTATGCACCATTCTATGATCTCAGGCTAGCCAAGAATATGGACACACTGGATTCCCGGGGTAGGGATTTGCACTAACAGTCATTTGATTGACAGAACATAAGTCCTTGCTGGCCCTCAGTGTTGGCTAGAAGAAGGCTCACAAATTAAATTCCTCTGTTATGCTCTGAGCCCTCTAGGACCTAAGCAAAGATGAATTAGCTGAGTACTGGTCCAGAGCACCATACTAAAAGCTGAGCAAGAAGACGTTCACCTTCTCATTCACCTAAATGGCCAACCCAAAGACCATGATTTCAATAGCAGGCTTGTCAAATTACCCAAAAGACGCAATCACACATTTCCTTACATGGATTAAAATCAAAATTTCCATTGGCTTCCAAGAGGTCTAACTTCCCTGGACATCACATTCCCCTAAATTGCTTGGAATTATTTCTGTCCTGCCAGTCTGTTCAGCAAGAGAATTTGAGGGCCTAAGGAATATATTTACCCTTGAGCCGAGGCCAATACCTTTAGCCCAATCCTTGGTTTCCAGAAAGTTCAACTCCACAGAAGTGAAACTGAATCCTTGTATTTGGCCTAGCTACCTAGATATGAAACCTCATCTGTGCCAAGTGATTTGGGCTCATGTTCCGCTGAGAGAAGCATTAAGCACCCTTCCAAGGTTTGAGCCATCCACCCCCTAAACAAACATAAGCATTTTTTCCACAGGCCCCAAGCCTAAAGGTCTCAGAGCATTACAATGATCTGCTTCCAGGTAAGTGAGGGATTGGCAGGGCATTCAAGCTCCCCCAAACAGGCCAGGTAGCTGTCCACCTGATCCAGGTAAGCGCTGGTAATTCCAAGCTGAACACTTCCTAAATACTCTTGGAAATATGTAAGAGCAGGAGAGTTTAGCAGACCAAAAGTGAAATAACACAAATTCCTTATTAGCACTCAACCACACAACAATGAAAGTATCTTCACGTGATGTTACACCATGCTGTAACTTTGGGCAAATTTTGCACTGGTAGAATCAAAAATAGAAAACATTGTCTCAACTGGAAAGAAGTAAAAACTCCATTAAATGACTCAACAGAGCTCTGTTCTCGATGATAAGCTTCTGATCTTGGAAGAACTTAGAGTCTAAATGAATTGGTCTCATAAAGAAAGAACTGATCCATCATACAGCATTTATCTAGAAAAACAGATAAGAGATGGCACTATTCTTACAAGACAAAAAGAAATATATTTTACCACTGACACACATACACACACTTTCCTCCTCCAGACCAAATAGCTGAGCTCAGGGACACTTTAACAGATTCATCAGAAACAGCATGTGCCTCTTGGGAAAGATCTGTCCAGATTGAAAATGAATATTTCTTTCATTTTTAAATAATTATTTTTTACGTTCAAGACATTGCACATTGGCATGGAGCCAGGATAGAAGTGGAGCAGCCAGAAGTGGGATGCCGTCACTGCAGTCTCAGCTTAGCTCACTGTGCTGCAACAGTGGTCCCTAAAATGCATATTTCTTATGGGCAGCACCTTACTTATAGGAATGCAAGGGTACCTCATAAAGTTCATGGAATAAAGAAAATTAAAAGATAAGTTGAGGAGGTGAGTGTTTTGCCTGTGGGGTAAGAAGCCAGTTAAAATGTCACCTTCCAACTCACAGTAACTGGGGTTCTATACCCAGCTCCGGTTCCTGCCTTCAGCTTGCTGTTAGGCAGTAGTGATGACTCAAATAATTGGGTCCCTACAACCCACATGGGAGCCCTGTGTTGATTCCCTGGCTTATAGCTTTGATTTGGTCCAAGCTTAGTAATCATTTTAGATATTAACAAGCTGATGTACATCCACTCTGTCTTTCTTTTTGTCCATGTCTGCCTCTCAAATAAATACATATAAATTCAGATTTAATAATTAGAGTTTATTTTGGTGCAATTTTCCTCATAATACACATTTTCTATGGAGTTTTTGAAATCATGGATTTCAGATATTTTTGCATCAAAAAGAACTCCTCTCTCAATACCAGCTTCAAAAAACTTTTGAAGTACTCTCACAGATCCAAAATAGATTCACTGTAATTTTGTTTACAGTAGCTGAAAGAATTGCCAACAATCAATGCTATCAAGAGAGGACTGTATAAATAAATGATGCGTCTAATGGATAACTGGGAAACTATGTATGGCGATCTTGCTGGTATGTACAGCGCTTCGGAAAGGAGCCCTTACCCACAGGGGCCTCTGGTTGGGAGGAGATGGTGCTTAATGGCTAAGGATGGGGTCCTTTTCACTGAATTCTTCTTTATATTTGGCATATTTCATAAACGATTATTTCACCTACTCAGAAAATAAATCTGAAAAGAAAAGAAAACCATCCTTTTCATTTTTTCTTAAAAGACCACTTCCCACACCAAGTCCTTCACTAGCATCAGAGCCCAGAAACAGACTAAGAGTCTCCTAAGTCAATAGATGTTGGGTAGTTACCGCTAGTCTCAACAACACCTGTCCTTTCTATGCAGGCGTCCTGCGTAAGGACTGCTGCTTTTCAGCCTGGTCCCTACCATGCAGGCTGACAGATTAACAGGAAGCTGAAACCAACTGGAGAGAAAGCAGCCAACATCCCTCACCGAAAGAATTCTATCTCTGCACTAGATTAAGGGACAGGAGTGTGGAGGGGCATCCATACCCCAGTGTCATTTTCAAGTACCAATTGTTCAGAAAACATTCTCTTTCATGCTCCAGTGCTCCTGAATACTTCCATGGCAGAGGATCTGCGGTGATACAATTAAACCATGTCAAGCCGTTAACAACTACGTGCTCTGGTTTCACCTGCTGTTTCTTTGACTCAAGGCTGGGAGAACCCTTTGAATAACCTTCTGAGAGTTATGTTACTAAGGCCACTGAGACTCTTTCCCTACAGTCTTCTAGCTATGTCAATCCCTTAAGTCACAACTGTACCAATAATGGCAGAGTCCCAAGACAACTCTGGTCTCCCATGCCTGTTGACTAGCTTGGTCCATTATAAGGACCCAGTGCCAGCTGTCTTCCTAGGAGAGGATGGCTCAGACATCCCACCTGTTACTATGAGCCATTCCAGGCAGTTCTGCTTCGCCACCTGTGTCAGACAGCTGATCAAAGAGAGCATTCAAAGAGTTTAAACGTTCCAGAGGATGTGGCTTCAAGCAAAGTAGAACAGGCAAAGCCCAAAAAATCAGTGACCTCACAAAGGCTCAGGAAGAGCAAAATAATCTGCCCATATAGGGTTGGAGGACAAGACTACTCATTACTAAGATCAAAGTCAGGGGCCTACACTGCTGAATTATCCACCTCTCATGGGCTGTCCTGCTCTGCCTCCCTGCAAGAAGAGCTCAGCACTTGCAATCCAGGAAGTGAGGCGCAGGAACAGTGAGGGAGACAGAGCTCAAAGCAAACATGAACTTGTCTTTCAGGAAAATGATGTTGCTACCCACAAGCTTTGCTCTCCCCCAAAGCTGACCAGCTAAAAGTTCAGACACAAGACATTGCAAGCTGATTGGGTTTTAATGTAACCCATAGATTAAAACATAATTTATTAGTAGTTAAAGAAAAAGAGTCATTATGGGAACCATGGTGGCTTGGGCCTGGGGAGCAAGGATCTGCTACGACCTAGAGATGACAAAGGAATGCACAAGAGAAGCTTGACACTCTGCCCGTCAATCTGGCCCTCTGATTTCCTAGGCATGATGTCGTCATATAGCTGCTGTTGCACACGAACAAACCCAAGGAGCAGTCCACAGAGAAGAAAGCTAAGGCCACACACTTCACACCAGCTGTGTTCCGGGGTGCAGGAAAAAAGCTCAGCATGACAGCTTAGCTCCACAAAGCTGGGAGACAAGAAGCCAGATTGCATGTGACCTATATTTCATTTGACACTTCACCACTCCCCAAGCAACAACCAGAATAGGCCTCTGCGTTCCACGCAGTTAATGACCCGGTCAAGGCTGGATTAAGCCAATAGCTGAAGAGACAGAGTGTGTTCTCCCCCCTCCGCCCTCCCCAGAGATGTGGAAACACCTCCTCACCAGTGGTGTACAGCCCCAGCGGGGCAGAAAGTAATCACAAGGGTGATGCAATCAAAAGGAGACCAGAAAGGTAGAAAAAGAGCCTAAGACATAGTCCTGAACTTGGGGCAGAGCCTTTTGGCATCTGTCTTCTACTGTCAAGAAAAAAGGAGTAGCAGGGAAACAACGGCTTTCCTAAGCATTGAAACTGTCTCCATAATCCTGAGTCACACCCATCTTTTCCTCTGTCATCACCCGGCAGCCACTGCACCAACCCCAGGCTGACTCCTGTGGCCCCTAGCTGGGTGGAAACATGGGTCACTCCTCTGAGAGAAGCCAAGGCTCTTTACAGCTAAGCTAGCTGCCAGACCCTCAGCTCTGTTGGTGGACAACAAACCCTTAGCTTCTGTTACTTCTCCTGGAGTTATGAGGGAGTCTCCCTGGCCCAGCTGCATGCCCCTTGCAGTGACCTGTCCGACACCACTGAACAGCATCGGTCTAACAGCAGCCTGTCCTCTCTCAGGAGCCCAGGCCCCTTGCTGCACAGCAGTATCCAGGCTGCTGCTGCTGCTTGCATCAGCCTGGCCCCAGACAGAAAGCTGAGTGTCCCAGGAGAACCAAGACCAATCTTCAAAGAACAGAGAGTTAGAGATCACGGAACAGGGTGGGAAAGGTCTTGGGAGCAAGTTTTCTGGAACCTAGAGTGAAAAGAAGCCCATCCTTTTCTCCCAAATCTGTGTTATGATATCCCCACCATGGCACAAGCAAAGAACACATGAGGAACCACAGCCCAGGGGAAGTTGGGAGAACTCAGGTAGGGGACAGAGGGAGGAAGCAAGGACACAGCTGAGGGGCGGCAGGTGCCTGAGAACAACTACAAGGGCTCAGAGGTGCTCCAAGCCAGCCCAGGACACCATGTGGTCTCTTTCTCCAACAATGTCAGAGGTTTTGAATATGGAAATCGCCAGGCACTGGCCAGACAGATGACCCAGGCTGGATGTTCCTATACAGGAACATCAGAGAAATTCAGGGCAGAACACACAGGAAACTGCACAGCCAGCAGAGCATTTTGTCAAAGAGGAGGCAGCTGCAGATGTGGGTCTCCAAGGCCCAAGGGGCACCTTTCCCGTTGCCATGAGGAACAGGCCAAATCTACCAGAGTCCTGAGGGCACGCGCTGGCCTCCCACCAGGCTCTGAGGAAAGGGCCTGGAAGAAGAGGGGAAAGGGATGAGCTAGGCGGCGCTGGAAACATCGGGAAGAGATGGAAGGGCTGGAGCAGATCACCTGGCAGTGCCCAGAAGAATAGAGCACCACTGGGCAACTGAAGCACCCATGCCTGGATCTCCAGACAGAGCAGACTGTCCAGAGGAGCAGAGGGATTCCAGAAGACGGGAGTCCCACGAAGGAGCAAGCCGGGCCTTTGGAAACTCGGGATTTGCATCCACAGGAGGTGAGAACCAAAGGTGAGAAGGGCTGGGGTGCAAGGAGTCCCCCAGGTGCCCGCCGTGGCTCTCTCTCACCTGCGCAGCACCAGGAAGCTCAGGACAACCAGCAGCAGAAATCCAACTTTGCGGCCCGGCTTCCGCCGCGGGCTCCACGTGAACATGATGAGTCGGGGCGCTCGGGGAGACTGGCTCGCCCACTGCAGCCAGCTCCGCGCTGCTCCCGAGCCCAGGTGCAGGGGCGGGACCGCGCAGCCGTGGCCATGGCAACCGAGCTGAGCACAGGCCGGCCCGGGGGCTCATTGGCTGGGACTCGGCCCCGCCCGGGTGAGGGGCGTGCACTGTGCCAGCCCTTCTTCCCTAGTCTATGCCAGGTGCGCGCCTCTGGCACTTTCGGAAGTGCGGGCAGGGACAGAACTTCTGGGCACGTGGTTGTGAGCCAGTGGGGTAAAAGCACCTGACTCCCCCCACAGCACCTTAGGAAGCCTGATTTGAGAGCGCCTGCGAAACAGAGGCCACTGGCAAAATCCTTAGCATTTGTAAGAGAAAAATGCTTGACGTCACAATTCACGATGTGAAGCGCTAGGACATTGCAGAATTTCCATTAGACATATTTATAGCTTAGTACGTTTGCTGTTTGAAAAGCTTTGGGAGTGAAGGGGCTAGACAATCAAGCACTTTTAGTTAAGTAACAAAATTTGAACAGAGGCAAGGCAGAAGCAAGCGAAAAAGGAAGCTAAAAACAGTTTTCTGGGGTGGACGAAAGATCTTTTTCTCTGTCTCTCTTCCTCTCTGTATATCTATATCTATATCTATATCTATATCTATATCTATATCTATATCTATATCTATATCTATATCTATATCTATATCTATATCTATATCTGTATTTTTAAGAAGCCTTGTGGGTTTGGAGTAGGGAAGTCCAGCTTTCACCCAGCAGTTCTTCTCACAGTCCATGTGAGGAGCAGGAACACCCTTTGCACAGTCACTGCTTTTGCTCCAATTTTTTAAAAAAACATTTGAGTTTGGTTGGGATGGACTCTCACCTGTAAGGCAGATGGAGAAAAATGTCCAAGTTGAATCACTTGACTTGAAGATGACTGTGTCACAGACATCCATGCTGAAGTCTGTCCTTTGCTTCTTGTCATTTTGCCAAGCAGTAGCAGAATATATTAACCAGCAGGTGGTTCTCAGCTTGCTTAAACAATGCCAGCATCTCCAACTTTTTCCAAATATTAGTAAAAAAAAAAAAAAAAAAACTCTGCAATGGGCTCATTAAAGCCTTTACCTGTTTGAGGCAACTCTATCCTTAGTCTTCATTCATGTGAGAAAAAGCCTCCATTAACCTGTTGGGCAGTGTAGAGCAGCAGACAGGCCCTGCTCATAGACTCAGCACACTGTTATCTGGACTGGCTAACATCACAGTGCTAAGGCAGCATTAGCCTGAGATGGGTTTTGCTGAGCACATATGACTTCTGGTAGTGGAATGCTAGCAACCTTCTCCTTCATTGTCTCCTTTCCAAAACGTTTAAGTGATCATTAAGTAGATGACAAGATGTGAAAATCCCTGCCAACTAAAGCTAAGGCTACAAACTGCAGGCGTGCAGCATCAACAAACAGCCCTGCAAGGTGCCTGGATGAGCACAGGATCTGTGGCACTCAGAAACCACAGCCCTTTCAGGCTCTCTTCCTGGTGGCAAGGGCTCAGAAACTATAAGAGATTGTTTCAAAACCAATAGAAAAACAATATCTTTGCTACTCTTTGTCCACTGCTCCAAACCAGAGCCCCAAGAGACTCAGAGAGCCGGCTCCCTTCTTGAGAATTCTTGTATTCCACAATGTCCATGGGAGATGGAAATACACACTAACAGCTCACAGGAGGATAAAGGCAGCATCATTCAGAATCCATATAGTGACACAGCACTATATATATTTTATATATAAGTAAAATAATCGTTTCAACTGGTTTTGAAGGACTCCACTATTGTAATAATATAAGGGAAAAAACTGTGGGACTGGGGGAGGGGAAACCCCTGAGCCTATGGATCAGTATCATAAAAAAATTTAAGAGTTTAAGTTAAAAAAATCACATCAAACTGACATTATTTGCTGTTTTACTGCTTTATTTTAAACAGGTTACAATTTTACAGATATTCTTTCATCCACATAACTAACTTTTCTGAGACTGTTTAATTCGTTCTGTAAGGGAAATGCTAGTATCACTTTGAACAACTATCTCTTAAACTCCTGGGAGCAGAATGGGAAGTTCGGCCTCAGTGACAGCACAGCCACCTGGCTGCTGGCTTGAGATGCAGCAACTTCTCTGCTCCTCTTTCCTGACAGATACCCCCTGTGGACAGCCTTCCTTGTCGACAGGTGCAAGTTCATTTGTTCAACAAGAACAAACTCTCATTACAGTGTCAAGTGAAGCAAATGAATTAAGACCATGAGGGAATTTAAACCCTAGACAAAAGAGAAAGTAGGAAGACCCAAAAAGAAAAGGTGAGGGCCCAGCGCGATGGCGCAGTGGTTAAGGTCCTCACCTTGCACGCCCGGGATTCCCATATGGGCGCCAGTTCTAATCCCGGCAGCCCCGCTTCCCTTCCAGCTCCCTGCCTGTGGCCTGGGAAAGCAGTCGAGGACTGCCCAAAGCTTTAGCACCCTGCACCTGCGCGGGAGACCTGGAAGAGTCTCCTGGCTTTGGATCAGCATAGCATTGGCCGTTGCGCTCACTTGGGGAGTGAATCATCGGACGGAAGATCTTCCTCTCTGTCTCTCCTCTCTGTATATCTGCCTTTCCAATAAAAAAATAATAAAAATAAAAATTAAAAAAAAAGAAAAGGTGGAGATTGGTGTGATGGTGGCAGCTGCTTCAGCCCCTACTTGGGACATTTCCCAACACTCTTGATATGGTCTTAGGGAGGTGGTTCAGGGTCATGAGTTTGGAAGCCACACACCCCCCACCTGTGCAATACTTTTTGCACATCTGTGCATCAAAGGAGGCACACCCTCGTTACCGGGGACCTGAGGGGGCGGGGCGGTGTTCTGTAACCCCTCTCCTCTCAAGCCCCCTTAAAAGCTAGCTCTCCTTATCTTTCCTGTGCCAACGCTTAGCCTCTCATATACCTGCTTGCTGTCTTGCTTCCTGCAGACAGGACTCCCAGGACAAAAAGTTAGCAATCTCTCTCCCTTACCCTCTCACTGATGGCTCACTCTCCCTGAACATGGCCCACGTATGTCTGTATCTTTCACCTTATGAATAAACTTGATCACCTGCTTAAGCCATGTCGGTGCCCATGTTTCAAATGCTTCTTAATGAAGACATGAGAACCTAGGAAATAAATGTTCAGCACAAACCTAGACCACAACACTTTTCTTGGTATTAAGTTTCCTGAGAGAAAGCAAATGTTCGCTCAAGTTCTCTGACCCCTCCGTGGAGAAGGTCCAAATGCAGTTCTGGGTTCCTAGCTCTGGACTGACCCAACTCTGGATGTGGTGGCCTTTTAGGGGAGTGAAGTAGTGAATGGAAAATCTCTTTCTATCTTGTCTCTGCTTTTCAAGTAGATGATACATATGGTGTGTGTGTTATATCTATATGTGATACATACACATATATATGATACACATGTATCTAAGTGAAGACAAATCTCCAAATCCCAACAAGATGCACTCATGTTCCTGGGAGAAGGAAGCACACTGATCTCCATCTTTGGCCTTGGCAGTCTGGAAACATCATTTGCCAGCCTTAGCCTTTGGAAAACCAAAAGCACAAAGACTAAATTCATTTAAATTGCTGATAAGCTTTTAGTGCCAATGCACTATATGCAGAACACCATTTTAGGGCATCGTGACACAGCAATGGACAAAACAGGCCAAAACCCCTTCCCTTTGAAATGCCCTCTAGTGGGGGAAGAAAGAAAGGAAAAATTAACTTGATCAATCAATAAAATGTACAGCTTGTTCAAAGGTAATAACTCTGCAGAAAATTTTAAAAGGAGATACAGGTCCCTACCCTTCCTGAATATGATTCATCCCTTTGTCCAGAACACAGTATAATCACTTCTTTGAGGGAAGGAAAGAGACCACATTCACCCAGCTTTAAATGAAGTATTGTTAACTGGTATTCTATTTGAATATTTGTTATGAATCACTTCCTGTGCCTAATTTATAAGTTAAACTTTACCATATATAAACTTTATGTCACAGATTATTTATAGATCATCCATATATGTCATCACATGTTATTTATATGTTAATTACACATAACCTATCACAAGTATTATTATTTATATATTATATATAATGTTTTCACATATCATTTATGTGTGATATACAAATATTTATGTTAATTACCTATTGTTTGTATATTATCATACATAAACTATCATAAGCATCATTAGATATTAATCATATGTAAACTTTATCATATATATGTATATATATATCTGAGGAGTGCTCAGATATTCCCAAGAAATATTTTTTTTTCTGTCAAAAACTCAGGGTTATGAATATTTGGGACATTCTAGTTTAGTTAATAGCAAGGGAAACACACCGTTTGATGTAATAATTCAGATCTGGATACCATCCTCATGGCAAAATCGGATACCTTCCCAGTTTTCACTGTGAGGAATCCTATACCTTGGACAAGAAGCTCCCTTCTTTTTGCAATGGTATGTTTTGAACAGTGGGCAAGAAACTGCTATTGCAGTGGTTTTTAAAATATACTTCAGTTCTTTATTTTAATTTCTGCTAAAAATGTTCATGGTTGGAACTATGTTAAGGCTAGACACATTTGGGGATAGGAATTGGGTGGGAAATAAAAGATTTGTCTTTCCTCTTTCTGGGAGCAAAGGATGAGCTATTGAAATTGGAAAATATTAAAATTTATACAAAATGTAAGAAACAGTTTGAGGGCAACATTTCTCCTTTGGTATACATTATTATTATTATTAATCACACCTACAGCTTTGATAAAAACTTATCTGGGAATGCTGTGATAGGCGCCTCAAGAATAAAAGCATGAACACCATTTTTAAAACATATTTTTTTTAACAATTACTCTCATTCTGCAGTTTGAGAAGACCAGTAGACTACATGTTCAGAGTGGAAAGTAAGGCTCATCTACTGACTTTCTCATTTCAGTCCTGCATAATTCTCTTCC